ATTAGTTACGTAAAGAGATTCCTCGTGTGTGCATATTTAAGCTTGAAGAGATGCCGCGTGATGTTAAAGGTTGAGGCAAGATTTCTTTCCCTCGCGTATCTCTTATCTACGTTTTGTCCCTTATCGAGGGTAAGGCACGTGAACAAGAAATTCTAGGCGGTTCCCCAACTTCCGCTATATTTATTCGAGTTTGTGAGTGACTAACATAACGAAATTGTCACTTGGCCTTTCAAAGCGAAATAACAACAGAGACGAATTGTTGTTTCGTTTCGATGATTGTTCTTCTTTTCCTGAAGCTACTTGCACCCGGAATCCATTTTACGGTATTTAACTTCAACGTATACTTTATGGAAAATCATTAAAATTCTCAGTACTCATAATTCCAACTAATATCCGTTGGGACTTATTTAGACGAAAAGTTATTTGTAAACACAGAACAATAATACGGATACATAATATTGTGGAGCATGAACTTGAGTCTTTCTTGGTTTTTCCTGGAACGTGGAGACAGCGTCCGATGATAAATAACATCCGTCGTATTATGTTACCTTCATCAATTATTTTTATCTTTGGCGGTACCTTCCCTTCACATCTACGCGCAAGCTTATCACACATGTATCTGCACTTTCGAATCATACCTGTAATTTCGAAGGAAACTTGTACGAGATGTGTGGTGTCCTATGTAATTAAGATACAATGAAATCGTATGCATACCGCAAAGCGTGCACATAGATACTCCGTTCTCGTGTGCCCCGTCTCAATTGGCGCGCGAATTTCTCACTTTATTTATAGATCTGTAAACGGTAGCACCAGTCTATTTTTGTTGCGATTTCATTACTAAGCTCTCTAAGAAATGTCCTCGAGAGCACGCGCAAATCGAGTTCCGTACGAGGTTTTCTTTTGTCTCCTTTTACACCACGCAGTGTCGACTTCCATGATTTGTGAACGCGCGGACTTGGCTTCCGACGAATTTGTTGAATCTAGTGAAAACAAAAACTCTTCAATTGTAGGAACATTGCCATCCGATTTAATGCATCATTCAATGCATATTGTGGTGTGGAATTCTATTTGATCATATATCACAACCATCAGGTTCGCAAACTTACATAACTGTCGCTTGCGCATCGCTTTACACTTAGTTGTCCTTAGATATATATCTTAAATAACATTTCAGTCGATGATTGGAGAATGTTTATACCGGAATCTATGATGAAGGATTTCAAAAATCTTTGCTCAAGTGACTTGAAAAAAGAATGACTCGAATAACTCTTTCTGAACTGGGTACACGTTATATGCCCTCTAACACCTGGATCTATTTGCTTGAATTGTCTCAAGTAAAGTAGATTTTACGCAAAATCTTTTTAATTAGATGTCCAGGACTCCGCGTTCGTTACGTAACCGAACTCGACAATGGAACGCTGTTTTGCGTTTAGTTTAAACCGCTCCATTACTGAAACGGAGTCAAGGAGTGGGCCGCACCGTTGAAACCCACATAAATGGACATCGCGTAAAAACGCTTCCCGGATCGGTACGTAGTCGACGTGTCGCGACAATTTTTTGTTCGAGGTTTATCTTAGTCCCGGCTCGAGTAAAGCGAATCGCAGAAGTGCGTTTCCTTCCCGCAAAGTCGGCAACCGCTATGGTTCTGGTACCCAGAAAAGAAATTTCAAAAAAACGAAAAATTATGGGCATATTTTCATTCCCTTAAATTCCATCCGATGTAAACATTAGCCGAGAAAATTGGACCACGCTGCACTGGTTTACTTTTTAATGTGACATTTAGCTGCGTCCACGAATACACCTCAGTACGAGGGATCATTACGAGTATATTGTTCCAATTTCGTCAATTCACGGTACGATCACTGATAAACGCCCCTATCGGTTGTTTTTTTTTTTTTTTTTTCGTTATCCGTGTTTCGATTCAAGGAACAACCGGCGAGTGGCGGTGACGATCCGGTCAGTGCGGTTTTAAGCGAACCGCTTAATGCTTTTTTACCCCCCCTCCATTGTGAGAGCCTGATAACGACCGAGAATAAAGTGATACTACAGGACATCCTGTCGAGTGGATATATAGACGTATGTATTGAGTTAAGTTAATCTCCGGTATGTAGCTTCCCCATTATTTTGACGGTTCCTTTGAGCAATTTGTTATGAATGCAACATGCCTTCGCTGAATCGAGCAAGCCTTAATAGGTGTACTTTTATACTTACAATAATTTGAATTCTAGATTTCTGACACCTATCTTAATAATTTTTTTTATTTATTACCCCAGTAGCTTACTACTTTCCAGTTTCGAGTCGTCCTTACCGTTCATTCGGATGAATAATGAGAACAAATGTGTCGATAACGTATGTCGCGAGGACTAAATGTTATTGGATAAGTGCTGATGAATTATTTATTTTTAATATTTGAGATCCTTTTCTCTCTTTGAAGAATTATTGCCAGGATATTTAAAGAGTACCCTCCTTGTCAAATGGTGTTCGCTGTGAGCTTTGCGATCTTAACGCTCCACGTCAGAGGTCGATTAATTAACGTCTTAAGAAGATCGATGGCGGGTTTAATCCTGTTTCACCAAGACCCGGCCTGTTCAAAGCGTCACTCACCTCCTCAATTCTGAGACTTGTTTGCTCTGAGCAATTGAAGCTAATTATGGATGATACCGCGTAAACGTTGTTCATGTCGGTCTTGCTCGGGGATTTCAAGTGTTTCCCTCGCTTTGAAAATCGAGTACGTGTATTAAGTGTACGTATGTCAAGTGCATTTTCCACGATCCGACAATAAGCGGAATTCGGTGCCATGGTCATGCTGCGATTCAACTCGTGGAATGCAAACATTTTCCTTTCATACCATCTTAAATATTACCGATTCGCTGGCACACTACTCGGTGGTGTTTGGTAATCATCGTTACCCTACGTCACGGTTATCCACGTGCAAGCACGCTCGATATTAATCATTGGGCTCTTAACAGATTGCGTTCGGTATTTGGTATAAGAATAGATAGGGCCTTCGGAGTAAAACATCGGTACCCGCGACTAGCCACCAAATCATCAATGGTTACGGCAAATATTCTGCGGGATCGTACGTGCGCACGTTTTTGCATGAAATTACAGGATTTCACCGGGTCTTTTCTACCTGCAATAGATTGACCGATTATCATACAATTCTGATTAACTACTTAAGGAAAAATCCGTGGTGTACTTGTCGCGTTGCTTCATGTCGGGGCACTGCTGCAAGCGTTACGATAGAGGATACCGAGAGCGTTTCCATTATGACATTTTCTCTCGGGGCTCTTGTAACGCCGTGAAAGTGTGCCATGATGACCAATGACCGTTAGTCTCGATTTTCTCTCTTCGGCCGAGCCGATCTTACTCGCTTCCTGCAACAGTTACGATTTCTTCATTACCCGTCGTAAGAGATGATCGGGTATCGCGAGTTTACAAACATTTAGGATCACCGCTCTTCCTAAGTTCTCTCGTCCGTTTGTATACACGTCGGCCATGCCCTCGGAATATCGGTTCGGGCGCCTGCATTACCCATTCTCCGTGCATTGCCCTACTTGCCGTGGAATCCCACTTGCTCGGTCGGCGAGAGACGAGAGTCCTTAAGCTTTCTTTCGGGGAAAGTAAAAGTGGCACGGGGCAGTTCGCGGCAAGGTCGGCCGTAATGGCGACACCGCCCGACGTCCTTCGCGCACGCGCGTGCCGATAGCCACACATATCGACTTTCCTCTTATGCCACGGCGCGGTAACGATTCAAAATGAAAAGAAGGAAAAAAAAGAGGCCTCATGCCGAAACGGTCGGTACTTCCCGGCGCACGCACCCACCTCGACTCGTTCGCCAATCCGAGAGCGAGGAAGCACGCATGCGCCGTCGCTTCGCGTCAGGTTCGCCTACCGGGATCTGCTTGACCGACCGCGCGTACCGAACCACTCTAGAAATGCACGTTTTCATGACTTTGGATTTTCCCCTGCTTCTTCTCTATTTGAGGAGATTAGAGATCCGGAGGACGAACACAATGTTATAGAAATTTCCTCAATATCGGATATAGATCTTTCCTTATTAGGCGGCGTCACATTCGCTTAGGGGCCACTACTTGAATAAAGCGCGGGCATGGATTTATAGACATACAATTGCAATCCGGTTACATTGTCCAAATAAATTGAGAGAAAATATTCAATGTATATTTTATCCATAAAATATTTTTAAGAGCATTTATTTGTGACATATGTAAGTACTGTAATTAAAATGAAGTTTTGACCCAGGTAGTAGAATGTGATATTTTCCGAGTTTTCAATTTGACACGTCTCCCGCGTTGTCCGAGATTCGCAAGATTACGTACTCCATGTTGGTCCCTTAGCGATAGCGTTGCCACCTACAGAGAAAATTTCAAACACTGTTACGTATTTTTTTTCGCGGATACGAGCTTCCGTAAGGGACCCTATGCAATTCGTTCTCCTGGTCTCTAGTATCCATGCTGGTAATCGTGGCGAACAAAGAAATGAATAACCTCAAAATGACAAGGATTCACGCATATTGAGATGAGCACTCGAGATCTGTTTACGTCACGCTCGAGGGAACGCGCGTGCGCAGTTCCTGTCGTACCGAGAATCGTTTGACCGGTAGATGTACGCGGGGCTCGTTGAGATTTTCATTACGATAACTTTGACTTTGTGTCTTGTCTCGCGTCGAACGGTCAGGAGGTAGGGAAAAAACCTCGAGAACGTTACCGAATGAATCGGTCGGGGTGGTGAGCATTTCGCGCAAACTTCTGACGTGACTTTTGACTTTGCTCTCGGTATTCGTCGACAAGACGATCGGGATTTCCACGGGCGCGCGCATTTCAAGTTTCTTTGCCAGTCAAAGTCCGCGGAAGTGCGCATGCGTCGAGGGCTTAGTCTCGAGCGGGAGGGAACCTACCTGAACGATCAACGATTTGGAAAGGTTTCCGCGGTTTTGGTTACGTCAATGCTAATCGAGCGACGTCTTTTTACTGTTTCAGTTGCCAGCAACTGCACCAACATGTCTGTCACGTCTGTTCAAAGCAACACCGAGAGCCTCTCTCGTCACGGGTAAGTCGCTACGTAAAACGCGTTACGTAATTCCCGTCTAGCTCGTAGATCACGCATTCCGCGACATATCCCGTACTCGTTGGCAGGGTCGTTGAATGACTCGGCGAGTGATGGCGCCACTGTGGATCAAGAGTTACCGAGCAGGACATGCCAGTTATTCCCCCGACATCGGTGATTTTGCGAAAGTATGCCGCGTCTTTAATGCAGGCAGGATCGTAAAAGTATAGATGCTATTCATAGATCACCGTCGGTAATATCGTCGGTTATCGGTGTCCGGCCGATTGTGCACCGAAATTGCATAACGTGCACGAAATGACGTTCCTTTTGGTGTAACACTCGAAGCTCGGGAAATTCCTCGGGTACATGTTTTTTCACCGCTGTTGTGTACATTTACGAAGACGATATGCTTCGTAGATTGCTATTGCAAACTATTTGTGCACCGTCATCGGGGAGCTTACCGATTGAGGGAAATGACGCTGACCTTCGTTAACGATCGCGTGGCGGAAAATTATCGGCGAAGTTTGGGCGGAGGGGCTTGGTACATTTGAACATTCCAGAAATCGGAATCAGAGTGATTACGTCGCCTTCGAGCCGTGGACGTTGTTACCGTCGTTGAGAATTGTTCGAAATACTCCGCGGTTTACGAGAATGCCATTTAAGAGGCCGTTTAACGGACCGTGGCGGTTTACCACAAGCTCTCTGCGCACCTTCCTCCGGCATAATGCATTTTGTCGAATCTAAGCAAATGGTTGGTAAAATCGTCGTAGCCCGTTCGCTCCGTTGTTCCATCGTGAATAGCTGGCTTGCAGGTGGCTTCTAAAATTCGAGTAGCTTTACATTCCTTCCTGCCATGGTTGGGAAATCGTGACGTAGCCAAAACTTTCTCGGGCGATGTTTCCACGAAACGTTCGAAGTGCCGCTTCTCCCGATATTCTTGCGCGATTTCTACATCCACTGATTTATAAATAGCGGTGGTGATTTATACGGCGCAGTGATCCAGTCTATTCAAACTTAGGACCTATTCAAGCGAGAGGAACATAAATCGACAAGATGTCAGCTTTTCTCGGAATTTCCCGAAGGGGGAATCGAAGTGGGACGTAATCGGGCCACGCGCGTGGGACGAAGATCGTCCTTCCTCTCTGGACCGCTTCGCCACGTGACGCACCCACACGTGTAAATCTCCCCCTGTTTAATCTCTTCAATGAATCCATCCATCTCCTAACCCTGTCCCGCTCGATTCGGTCGGACTCGTGGCAAGGTACATGCCGACTCGCGTGCCCGGTAAAGCTCTGCGACATGCCGTGCACCGGTGCAATTGCAATTCCATTTTAGCCGGGACTTCGTGTCTCCCTCTCACATCAGTTATATCGAGCCACGTGTAAAGGTCACGGCAAAGCGCATCGAAAAATACGCCCGCGATTGTAGAACGATCCAAGGAGACGGCGGATGTCGAGAATTCGAACTTGCGCTCTAGTGATTCTCGGTGATGCCGAATCGAGTTTCAAAGCCATTGAGAAGGAATTAATAAAGCATCCGCTCGATGGGCCTCGAGTCGCGAACGCGGCTGCAACAAACTTTTCTATCAGAAACTAACAGAAAGTTTAAGGGATCGGCAGTTTTATCGACAACTTTTAGGCGATACGAAAATAGCGCCTGAGAAGTTCCTTTTATGAAATTGAATGGTTTGAGATTTTACCAGGACGAAGGAAGGTTTCATAAACGGTCGATCCCTCGGATGCCGCTTTCGTATCACACGTAGATACAATATTAATAGAATAAGGTGTTACCTAGAGATCTCGGTTCACTTAAACTGAAATATGCACGATTTGCTCGTATTTAACGTTTCATTAATTTATTTTAAATACTTTCAATCGGTCCGCTCTAGCAGAATTCAGTCCACGGACGGCATGCGATGCGTGATTCGCCATTTCCTGCGATGCCGTTTCGCTTCGCCCTCTGGCGTAGTTATGATTATTCTTCGCGTGGATCACCTCTTTTTCCCACGACCAAACCGAGCGACTCGCGGAAGGTCGCGGAAATCCATCGCGACCTCAGTAATCCTTATTCCGGCGTAATTGGATTGAGCCTAGTCGTGTCTGCGTCTCGGGGGACGCTCTTTGTACCTCGACCGGCGGTCACGTGTCCATTTTTAATCGCGCACGCATCGTGTCTTTGTGTACATTCCAGACTGCCCGCGAGATTACTCGTTAGCGCCCGTCGCGATAATTCTCGCTTGAATCGAGCCGTCTCTTGTATATTGTTCTTTGAGGGGTCTCGAAAAAATAACCTTTCAGGGGTCTTGAGGCAATTCTTTGCCCTCTTTTGAAAACTCGAGCGAAGAGGGGACGGCTGGGAGGCCAGAATCGAATGATAAACGGAACTAACTCGCGGTCGCCGACTTCCGGGTTTATTGCGCTCTGTGAGAGCGTCCAGAGGAACGAGCCCCGGGTCGTTACACGTGTGCTCGTTCGTAGACGGCCGTCTTGGAATGACGAGTCAAGGATCTCGCTGTCTCGGTCCACGTGTACGCGCCTGGAATGATTTCGGTGCCTATCGTGGTCTCGGGATGTGCTTTATCCCACTTTTATGCTAATTAGACGTATCCAACCGATGAGTGGCGCTCCCTGAACGTGCATTGGTGCACGAATTGTACACACATACACGACGCGTACATATACCGCACTGCACGCGGTAATGAAAGATTCATTCAAGGGTCTCGACGCGGACCTTTTCTGGGTCGTAAGAAATTATTGAATGACTGTAGAGTGACAGCGAATATAAGAGGATATGATAAGGCGTTAAGGAATATAATCGACACCGATAAAATAAAATTCATCTATACCTTTCTTTTTTTGGTGGTAAGGCAGTTTTGAATACTCAAGTGGTAACATAAGCTGGCGCGTCCCATTACCGACATTTATATTCACGTTGAAGTCTTTTACAGTCTACGTTGAGAATTATACGAACTGGAGGGTTCCATATCGTCGTTTCGGTAAACCAATGATAAAAAAAATCGACGTACAGCTGTCGAGATCCCATGAATTCATGGCTGTTTATATTTTGCCAAACCAACGTCGCCATCTGTGACGTTTAGCTGCAACTAAATCTTTGCTCTAAAAACACGTGTTAGCCACGGTACAAGCCAGCACTCTCGATCGTCGGTGAAAGTATTTTTCACATTTTCCCATCGGACTCTGTAATATTTCATTTCTATGGTATTCTAAATTATTCGAGCTAGGTTCTGAAACTCTTCACTTTCGATTCCAATCCCTCAAGAAACGTGAAACATCGAAAACGTGCCCGGACCACGCCATGTTGGTTCTAGTCCATGATAAGTAAATCAATTTTGGATGAAAAATTAAATTTCATGTGTTTTGGGACTTACTTTAGGGCCTCCATATTCACGTGGTAAAAATTGAAACGAATCGGTACACCCAATTCGGAGAATACTTTCCCCAACGATTCGACTTCTCAGATATGTACAGGCTGACCCTTTCATATTCTCTTAAGGAGATTAATGAGCAACGTGTACGATTCAACTTTCGTAAGAATGCTTTCCCGTATGTAGACTTTCGTCTGGTGGATAAGAAAACTGACGGGGTGCCGAAAACATCTGATAGGAACGTTTCGTTTATGCGGTACGTTTAACGTCGACTTACTGCACAATGGAAGCTTGATATCAATGTATGACAAACCTGCGCCGTTATTCGAACCCTTGTGAGGCATTCTCTTGAAGGCTGAAATTTGTGTGACCACCAGACTTTATCGTTATCACGTGGACGTCGGATGACTCTCGTCTCAGTACTGGTTACAGAAATGTACGTTACGTAAGCGCGGAAACTCACCCGCGGCTCGTCGGGTGTCGTCTGCGGGATTCTCACGAAAATTCTCAGCTGCTTCGGTAGATGCCTATTACAACAATTAGAATCCGCTTGAAAGGACTAATCGACTCTCAATGTAAGTTTGTTTTACTTTTCCGGTTACAGGAGCAACGTATCCTTGTCCTGCCACAGTCTGTGCGGAAGCGTTGACGATGGGCTCCAGGGTTCTCATCCTCAGTACCAAGACACCATCTTGACCATCGAGGAGCTACGTGCCCAGCTCAACTCCTGCTTTACGTATGTTTCACTCCGATCTTGATACATAAATTACTTCTCGAAACCCCGGTAATCGAATGAAAGCTATAAGGAAATGAAAAATACCGTTGAAAAGTAGAACTATATACTTCTACTGCTTCATTATTTATAAAGGAAAAAGTATAAAGGTATGTTTTCATTACTTGAAGGTTTAAACAATGGAAACGAGACGCTGCCAACACGGATTTTGTTTCTCATTCCATAGCTACATTTTACAGCTTTATACATGAAAATAATGCTCCAACTTGAAACGAAGCAATGTCGGACGAAAAGTCTAATATACATCTGTAGGGAATTTAATAACAATTCCCTGATAATTAGTTACAAGTGAATGGCTGTACTTTATTATTTTCAAATAGCTCTAAAGTCAAGCGTAGGTTGCGATACGTCTCGTAAGAGAGTCGATTAATCGAATGAATCCTCGATCCTTCTTTCTTCGGGATCTGGTCCCGCGTCGTTTCCCAAGGGTCATCCTCGCCCTCGCGTTGTCTAGGTCTTCCTAAAAGCAGGATGGGAGTGACCCAGCCCAAAGGAGAAGGAATGTACCTTCATGTCGAACTTTCGTATAGCTTTCGTTCGCCGGGGTTCAATTACTCGACCGTCCGTCGGTGACCTCTCTGATTCGGTCTCTCGACGAGTTGGGACAAATGAAAAACGGAAGGAAAAGGAGTCGACGGGAATGCAATAAAGTGCCCTCTGAATTTCCGGTAGAAATGGCGAGACGGGTGAGACGGCTCGCGAACGGTTGCTTCGCGAATTCGAGACTTCTTCGAGATTCGATTGGATATTCGAGCCTCTAAACGCGAGCAAATTGAGTCCACCCCGTCGCGCGGAGATAACGCCGCGCAGGCGCGCGCGAGCCGCTCTACTTTGCCGATTCGCGGACGCATACGCTGCATCATGCCGAGTTGCACAACCGGCGAATGTGCACAAGAGGCACAATGGAATCCGGTGCGATCCAGAGAAGCGGGCCGATTGAATCGTTCCGCTTCGACCGACGATAGTACGAGGATGGGAGAAAAAGAAATCAATTTATTAACGTTCGATGACGCTTGTCCCGTGCATTGTGCTCGTTGCCTTGGTCGACTCGGGGACTGGTGGGACAATTTTTCACGGGACCGCGATCGATGGATAGAGCGGCTGCTTTTATTTTCCTCATCCCTGACGGGGCGAAAATCAATGCCCGATATCCGTTGGATCGAGCCATAATTGCCCCCGCGATTTCGACGTTTATTTCCCGAGATAACGAGAGACGTCCCGTGATTTTGCCCGAGGATGCGTCATCGTGCAATTTATATATGTGCCTTCGACGCCTCTTCGGGCCAGTTGCCGTAGCGATGGCGAAGTTCGATTATCGGGAATCGGTCCAAGCGGACTCGCGTCGTTTCGTATAAATTCTGTCTCGGCTCTTTAAATGCCGTCCGTTTTTCGAGCAGGCGAGAGGCGACGAAAAGGTTTTTTAAAGTCTCTTGGCGGATACGGTCTTTGGAAGCAGCAGGCAATGGCTAGGCCGATCGTTGATGTAGTTATTAACCTGATTCGATTTATTTCAGGTGCGGAGTGTCGTGGAGCGAAGAACACGTCTCGCTGGACTGCAGCGAGTGCGGTGGTTATTCTCTTCAGAGACCGTGCCCCTTGTGCGACGGACGTTGTCACACGTCATGGAAACGGGATCTTACCATGGTAAGTCTCGTACCGAGTACTCGAATATAACGAGCGATTTTCGGGAGACCCGTGTCAATTTTGTGTAGACAATTGACACGTTTTGGTGTTTCCGTGCGAGGAGTTGATCGCAATGTCTTTCTGTTCACTAATAGTCCCATGCCAGCGGTAAGGCACGGTGGATCGGCGAATGCGGTTTAAGCTGCGGCCCGTCCTTGGATGAATCTTTGGTGCCTGCGTTGGAAAAATTACGAGCCACCTCGTGAGCAGAGCCCGTCACCGATGGCGCGGCTGCAACCATGCACAAGACTTAACCATCACCATCCATCAGTGTGTCATTTGCCACCCATCATCGTGCATATCCATACGAATGAATGCGAACCTGTCCTTAAGGCGAGAAAAGCTCTCGGCGAGCGAGGCGGGAGGAATGAGAGAGGCGGCGCCACGTCGTCGTCGGTTTTCGTAAAGTCCACATCGTTGATTGCTAGATTTAATTAGAGCGAATACGTCATTCTACGTCGCCTTCGTCGCGTCGTCCTGATCACCGCTACCACCAAAGGATCTGAATGTGCAACGTCCAAGGGTGGACTCACCGAATATGTTAATGGACAACTGCATACTGGACTAAGCGGAAATTGCAACAGGGCGGTTTCGTTTGATTATCGACCAATATTCTGGCAATGGCTCCAAATCACCAGGAATTAGGCAAGGGAGAACGCTAGGCTTTGTCCCCTTCCGAGAAAATGGTCCCCCTTTCCAGATCTTTACGCCAAAGTCACTGAAGAGGTAACAACATTTACAAGGTGTGCTCAACAAATTATCAGTGGTCGACTGGACAGCGAGATATAAATTACGATTCTCCTTCGAAGATTTCGTCAATTGTAATCAACTTTTGATCAGCGGTTCTGAATCGGCGAGGATTACGCGAAGAAAGACATATCTATCGGTCATCGGTTCCATTCTCATTTGAGTGAGTTACACACACACACACAGACACACACACGCAACATACACCCACACCTACACCTACACCTTGCGTGACATCGCTGAGGAAAGTAGAATATTAGAGGGAAGTACAGGGGATCCACGGTGTGTATAAGTTACTATCGGATACATTCGTTATTAGGAGGTCGTCAACCAACTCGTTAGCGTTATGTCGATGACTCTTGAACAAACACCGAAAAAAGCCATCCAAGTATCAAATCCTACTTCTGAATTCTTGACAACTCGGTTACATGCAAAAATTTATTCAGACTCGTTCATTCTCGATAATGTCAACCGTGATTGTAGTTGCTAGTTCGCGAGCAATTTAGGAATAATATAAGTCATCAGCGCGAAGATACGAGTATGCGGTTTGGATAAATTTTTGACCCTCCTCTGCTCATGACATCAGAGATCGTTGGCGACCCCGAATCACTTTTTTGCGAGATTTGAAACATATTGCATTGGCCTCCGGAGACCAGGATATGTTTTTATGTTAATGTGAACTTTAGAGTATAAGTTAAAGCGATAAAACAGCCGATCGACGAATCGAAGAACTGCATTGTAAGGCAGACCGAACAATTTGGATTGTAAAACCAATTTTGAAAGTAGTTGAATAGTTTTTTTTTTTTTCGGAAATTAATCGGACAGTGATATTATTCATACTAAAAAGTCTCGAAATTCAGAAACAGTGCTGTTTTGTGCGATTCGAAAATTATACGCTACCTTCTCATATAATTTCTTTGATTTGATCGATATATTTCGGCGTTAAGCAGAGCCAAACTGAGATCAAGTGAAATCAAAGACATGAAAATGGCGAGAATTTGTTAGGAAGACAAAATATCTAGTGTAAGTGTTTTTAGCTAACGCGAAATGACTTAAAGAAGCATTTATGTCGACGAGAAATAAGATCCTGAATTTATATATCATTACTTCAGCGATTTTGTCAATTCATTTGTAGGCCTATCACAACCGACAGACAATTTCGGCCGACACATGTTCCATTGCGCGGAATTCATACTCATCCGAAATTCATCGCCATTTAAGTTAAAAGTAATTGTAAAACTTTCCGAAGTATTATCTCAAGACAGATCTTAGTTGTATCGCTCTAGAATTTTTCTTCGGTTGTAATTTTTATTTAATCTCTCTGTAAAATTATTATTTATGACCATATGCTTTGAAATTATGGGCTTAATAAATAATATTTGTCAATTGTGCGTTTCCTTTTCAGAAATGAAATTCTGTAGTTGGCACTTCCTACCTTTATAACGCTTTATTGATTTCTCGAGGTCGTATCGTATTTACATAATACAAATTCAGGGAACATTGTTCAAAATGCGTAACCAATAATCACGTGTACTCAAATTGTACTTTGAGCTTTCACATCCTAAGAAGTATGTAACAATTTGGTTACGAGTAAAATTAGTCAATAAGACCTATAACGAACCAGCAACATAACAGTCTTAAACCTTGATAACGTGATTTCGTGAAAAAGTTGATTATTCGTCATAGAATACTAGGCTTGTTTACTATCATGCAACTAAAACTGCACGCAAAACATCATTTGAATGTGATATTCTCAATAGGTATGTTATGGTATCTTCTAGAAACCACTCAAGTGCAAAGGTTGAACTAAGTTCAAGGAAACCAGGTACATAAATTAAAAAAATATATAAAGGCTACAAATATGCAGTTTTATAATGTTTAAGAAGAATACTGAAGATTTTAGTCGATGTTCGAGTACCCTCATTTTTTGAGCAAAATGTTTTATATGGTAACAACACTTTTAAATGTGTTAGAATTTACAATGAATTTAATTAATTCTGTTTTTTAAATATTCAAATATTAATCATTCTTGCAGCCCAAACCAATACTCGCACATTAATGCAATTATTTCTATGAACTTCCTTTAATACTTTCACAGAGTATGTGATAGCTCCATTTATTAGACCGGGCTAGTGATGAACAGTAAAAGCAGAAATAAATACAACCTTTCATTCAAAATCGTTGCATTTGCACCGTCCAGAACAAGTGATTATCAAAAAGTTCTTTCAAAAAGAGTCTAAAGTCACAATTCATTTACAATAAATTAAGAAAATATATTTCAAACATACCAATCCTGTTGAATTTACTTAAACCAACATTTTTAACACTTTAGTGATACGAGAGTAATTACAGTTCTTCAGCACTGAGGCGTATATATCACATGTGAACAATACAAATCACCCGCAAATTCAGTCCTGTTTTGACAGTTTTTTTTTTGTGATTTTGGAATAAAATTACAGGTGCTGCGCAATTTTTAACAGCACAGGTGTGTCGGCTTATGCCGATAGTACAAATCTATATAATGCCATTGTCGACGCGGCTTCTTTTATTTGGTGACTTACTTTTGTTCCAATAGTCTGGTTGGTAAACTCCGAAACATCAATACGACAATTTCCTCTACAATTCGTACGTAAAAAAGCTATTTACATGCATCAAACGGAAAGTGGTGCTACCACGATGATATAATAATTAACGAATAAAATTGAACTTAAGTACTTCGTTTCTTTGATGAGATATTATCATTGCAGTCAAAGGAAACGAATCGGTGTTATTTTTTTACGAATGAAATTCTTCCGAAAATCAATTTGATCATCTTAATCTCTAGTATTACTTTACGTAATGATGGTATTGCTTTTTGGAGATCGGTCAGGTTTCTTCCTTCCTTTGCTCTCTTCCTCTTTCTTAATGTCACTGTTGTTAACAGTCTCGGCACCAGCATTCTACGACGACAACTATTCGTGCTCGCTGAATTCGCAAGCTATGACAAGAATAGACTTTGGTGTATGCTAGGGATGAAAGTAATAAATTAAAATGATTCTCGTTAGTTGTAGAAAAGCAAAATTAGAAATTAAACAATTTCTGTTTGGTAATAATACTCGAGGTACGACTGATTCTGGGGATTAGTAAGTGATAGGCTGGGATCTGTTATGAGAAGAGTAGGGTTGGGTGTACGAACAGACTTTTGAGGTAGAACCGCAATTATTTGTAATAAATAGATCTAGTAGGAACGAATCGCTGGTGGAACCGTTGCGCATTCCTGTGTGTCGAGTGTCTCGTCTATCACCGCTCGATAACTGATGCACACCTAAAAGCACAGAGAAAAACAATCGCCTTAAAAGCAGATCATTTAAGCACTTAACACCAAGGTTAACCAATTCGGTCAAGGGGATCACGATGTATTATAAGTTAATTTCATGGTAACCTTTGAACCCGAAGATCTTTTGTTAATTTAGTTTCTCACCTCTCCAGTCTGGGGGTTAATTTTGGTAAGAGTATGTTTTCTCCAATGTTGATCTACGGGTCGCTTTTGTTGTCCCTCCAAGGGTTTGCTATAATCATATTCATCAATTCTATCCTTAAAATCTTCACGCGCATGAGCTCCGCGACTCTCTTTTCTGTTTTCTGCGCCATAAATTGTTTGCAACGCATTCAACATTAAATTCTGCAACTCTAATGTTTCGATCAGATCAGAATTCCATATTAAACTCCGATCGGATATTTTGAGATCGTTCAAACTCTTGTATAATTCCGACATCTTTTTACAACCTATAAACAATGTAATATAGGAAAATTATGCTTGCGTTTTTGTTGACTGGATATACCTTAAGAATAATTTTACCTTCTTGTAAGGTTTCTGCCATTCTAAAAACAGCGGCATGTGTTTGCATAGTTTTTTGCATTGTTAATCTTAACTGCGCCGTGGGAACAGAACCATTCGCATGTCTAATTCGATCCAAATTCGCAATAGTCGCCTCTCCTGCATTCTGCATAATATTAATGAAAAATATAAACGGTTGATAATATTTATGGACAAAAATTGCCTACAAGCTTGCATAGAAAATTCTACGTTAATATTTACTATGTTACTTAATTAGAATTCGACTTTTCATCATATTGCATTTTTCTTGTATAACTCATTTTCATTTGTAAATGCTAATTAGATACGCTAATGATGAAAAATACTTTCTTTAGTTTATTACACCGCAACTTATGGAGTGAATAAAAATCAAGTAACACAATATGCCACGTTTAGTTGCTTAAGAATTTCTAATTTATGTCATTTTATCTGTGTGTAAATGTTGTGTAATTGACCCTACAACTGCAAATGAAAGTTGTTTCTTGTTACCCGCTGCATGTGAAAATGTACGTACTAAATACTTACAGGACTCAATTTTCCAATTGTTTCACCCGGTTTATTTTCACGTGCAATTGTCTTTGCACATGCGCGACCGAATACCACAAGATCGAGCAGCGAATTAGCTCCAAGTCGATTTGCACCATGAACAGATGCACATGCCGATTCACCGCATGCATACAATCCTTTTACAACTATATCTTGATTATTCTCGTTTATCAAGACTTGGCCCTTATAATTTGTCGGAATACCACCTGTAACGATACATATATATTATTGTACACTGAGAGGGTGTGTAAAAAAAAAAACGATTCTTTAACGATTTTTTGTAGTGACCAATAACAGTCAATAAAAGTGTGACACACCCATATTATAGTGCACTGTTGGCAGCACAGGGATTGGTTCTCGCGTGACATCCACTCCAGCAAAGATCATTGCAGTTTCGGAGATGCCGGGTAGTCTAGCGGCTAACTGTTCAGGTGGCAAGTGATGTAACTGCAGGTAAATATGATCTTTCTCTGGACCGACACCTCTGGGATAGAAAATAGCGTGGAAGAATAGGCGCATTTGCGAAGAAATTAAAATCATCAATCATCGTTTTACCTGCCTTCCCGAATTTCCATGGTCATAGACCTCGAGACGACGTCTCGAGAAGCTAGATCCTTAGCAACTGGTGCATACCGTTCCATAAATCTCTCGCCTTCGCTGTTAATCAAGTAACCACCTTCTCCTCTACTCCCTTCTGTGATAAGGCACCCGGCTCCGTAAATTCCTGCAAAATGTGTATATTACTTGACTACATTTACTGTATATTTATTACACATTTCAAATATTGAATATCAATTGGTACCTGTTGGGTGGAACTGTACAAATTCAAGATCCTGATTGAGAAGATTGGCTCTCGAGACCATAGCGGTACCATCACCGGTACACGTATGCGCAGAAGTACAAGAAAAGTATGCACGTCCGTAACCACCCGTAGCTAATACGGTATTTTTCGCATGAAATCGGTGAATCGTGCCATCTTCGAGACAAAGCGCTAATACTCCTCGGCATTCGCCGTTTTCCATAATTAAATCCAAAGCAAAATATTCAACAAAGTAGTTGCAGTCGTAACTGAGAGACTCTCCGTACAGGGTGTGCAGCAAAGAATGACCCGTTCTATCAGCAACGCAGCAACATCTGTGGGCTTGACCACCCTTGCCAAACTTCAGCGACTGTCCACCAAAGGCGCGTTGGTATATTTTACCTACAAATAATTCCATTCGTTAATTGCTTCTTCATTATACTTCTTTAAAATGAATTAATATTCAATTAAGTATAATATTTTCGGACCTTACCTCAACACATCAAGAGTAATGTACCAAACGTACGATTATCGATTGAAAAAAACAAATAGGTCATGATCGTAATAACGAAACGAACAGAAATATAACGTGTTCAAGGTTTCGCAGCATTAGTCGAGGAAAAGTACACCTTGACGTTTTATGACTTGTATACAATACATAATGCTACGAAACACGCTCTCTACATACTGAGTGCGCCACGTTATTCCTTGCGGTAAAATAGGTAGAGAAACGGCATTTAATGAAGTGTAATTTTTTATCACATGTGTTACTTAAGAGTATTTTTCGAAATGTTCAATTTGATATTTAACGTCGATTTTATAATCATGAATTAAATCACACGAAGTGTGGTTTCATGTGAAAAATAAATCATTTCGTCCACCGTGATCACCTTCTCTTGTCGTTTAAATATTTACTTAAATCACACAGGCAATGACCAAAAAAAGTGAATGCAGCGAAGTCATTTAAACAACTCTAACTTCACAAAACTTGCAATCGTAGCAACGAATAATTTCATCGAATATCGACGCTCTCGTGGAATAACTTATTTTCACGTGCTTTTCTATAATTCCTATCTTCTATTTCTTTCCTTAATCAATTTGTCCAAGCAGATAACTTGAGGAGAACGACGTAAAAGTATGAATAATGGTTAAGAAATTGTAGTTCATTAAAGTTACGTAAAAATTATGGAGCCAGGTAAAGCTGGACAAATGCACAGTAATAACGACTCCGGCACCGGAGGTCAAGAAAACACGCAAGATAAAGCTGCACATTCAAACGCTCAACATCGAAGGACCGGACAAACGGATCTTAACCACAAATTAAAGCAACCTAAGTAAGAATTCGGAAGTTTCCTTGAATAGTTTACATTACTGATTAGCAAATGCGTGTCTAGAACTAACTCTCGGCCTAGCTCGTCCCAACAACGCCAAACTTTGGTTCGATCACGATCCAGATCACTACTGAACACATGGAAAAGCACAAATCCTTTTATCAATTTTATGCAAGACTTTAGAAAGGTTGGTTCTATGAAGGCATAGAGTATTTTTAAATATTATTTAAGAATATGCCTCGAAATCGATAGGAACATACCGGGATAAAAAGTACACAAGTGTTTCGGATGGGAGGTGGTCAGTGGCGAAAAATGTCACAAGACGAAAAACAGCCCTACGTTGATGCTGCTAACAATATTAAGAAACAAAATCAAAAAGCTAATACCAATCAACTTGAAAAGAAGTCAGTTCCTAATAATAGTCAGAGTAAATCTGTGAAGCAAAATAAACCAAGAACTCGAATGGAGCAGTTAACTCAAAAGCAAAATCAGGTAATCTTACTCAGAAAAAATTAGAATAAGGTACCCAGTGAACATAAGAGTGATATAAAAGAGTTATGTGACATGATTACCATAGCAAGTCAGATAAGTCAGACAGTAATTTACATAATTTATTGGTATTATATGCATAACTGCATCTAAAATATGTACACCAACATGTGATATGTTATCTAAATTTATGGTAAACATATCTCTTATTTTTACTACTTTTTATTTTTTTTACTAAGTATATGGGAGTAGTGTTATATTATATATTCAGGTTTAATTGATCCATCTGATAATTCAGCAAAGACGACCGTAATAAAATTGTATAATGGAAACATTTAATATAGTATAGATGTGCAAATTAGTCCCCATTGTTTCTGGTAACACTTGTTTTCTTCCTATAATTTAAATTAATGAGGTAACCAATAATTTAGATAAGAAAACAAGATGAAAAAAAGCAAGAAACAAGTGATTCCGAATCTGACACTGGAACATCAGAAACAGCTCGGACAGTGACAAATGACGATAGCGAGAATACTTTCAGGGACTCGGATTGAATCATTAAGTGCCTTATCCAGATATTAATGCAATTTATCAAGAATTTTACGATAAGGAATATACTTATTGTCATTGCTTAAAAACTGTCTAATCCATATTCTGACAAATGTACTCTCAGTTCTGTACTTGTTTACCATTACTGTGTTATGTATGACGTGTTATTATTAAAAAACTTGATTAATACGTTGCTGAGAAGCAGATGTAATTTTAAAACAATATACTGAACTATTACAGTGACTTATATCTCTTATGTTTAATAAATAATAAGTTTGATTATTATTATACATACCGTCATTGGTTCGGCTGAATGGCATCCCACAATTCTCTAACTCGATAACAGCCTTTGGAGCTTCACGAGTCATGTAATGAATGGCATCTTGATCTCCAAGCCAATCAGATCCTTTGACAGTGTCGTACATGTGCCATTGCCAATTATCTTCTTCCATATTTCCCAATGCGGCATTTATACCACCTTGAGCAGCCACGGTATGAGATCTTGTTGGAAACAATTTTGTAACAACAGCGGTTTTAAAACCTTCTGCTACTAATCCATATGCTGCTCGGAGACCAGCTCCTCCTGCTCCGACGACAACAGCATCATAAGTGTGATCTACTACTGGATACTCCTTAGAAATAGCTTCGGACACTTTTGCTGCTTTTCCATCGGGAGTGTAATGAAACTGGCGAGTAGCAATTGAGGATAATCCTAACTTATTCTGGAACAGTAAAAAGTGTTAATATTTATTAACACTTCGATCCTAACAGATATATAGTACCTATTAGTTATGTGCGGACTGTACCTCTTTTAATTATAAGATCAGTTTTAAGTCCATTAAAGAATTACTGAATCGTTTAATTTTCTTGTTGGACACAAATAATACGTTTTAGGAAAATTATCAACAAAATTATTAAAAATCATTCCAATACAAGGTCAACTTAAAAATGGTATAATATTTATATAAAGAAAATCATTGAAGCAAAAAAATGGAAATTAATAACAAAACACGTAGATTGGAGATTGCCAAAAATTAAAAGTAATATATATGCAAGCACAATATAATGACATGGATATTCAAGACACAACAGAGATCATTGTACAAGGATTTAGGATTAAAATATCACAGTAAATGAAAAGAGAATATTGGTACTAAACTACAAAGAAATTCTAGTAATTCATTGAGTAAATGCCTACAATCATTGATTTAAACTATACTTTTCATTAGTCATTTTCTACTGTAATGAACATTTACTAAACCATATGCCAGACATTTTATCTGAGTATAGTCCAATCAAAGATTTCAAAGTGCAAAAGAAAGTTACTAAATCACCTTGCGTCTTTATACGCAATCGTAACGTGTTTAAATCCGCAAGAGACGAATTAGATAACGGATTGGCAACCAGCTTATGACTCGTGATATAGCGTACATTCTATAAATGTCCGATTGCGAGTGAAACGAGCAAGAAATTAAAAGATAAACGAGAAATTTGAGGACAAAAATCATAAAATATCACCGTACAGAAATTGCTGGTTCATTGAAGAGAACGATTTACTTAAAAACACATCAAACATTTTCGAGCCATTGGATGCTATCTCGCAGAAAGTAAATCGCGATAGAAGCAGGGAAACGCTGCTCTCGAGTTAAAAAAAAAAAGAAACCATGGGAAAGGCGCGAATATCGGCGTTCGCAAGGATATATTGGCTTTAGGACGATTCAAAATATGGGGTGGAATTACGTAACCCTACCGGACGTTCACGGGGAAAAGGTGCATCCGTCTTTCTCGGCGAGGAACCAACTTACATAACTGAAAAAGTGTCTCACTCGCGTTGCCGACGGCAAGTTCCTTGCCAAGGTGTACGAAACCTTAAGTATTCCGCTCATGACGTTTTCTTTGACTGTTGGTAGTCAGAATTCGGTTCGCCGCGTCAAATGCGGAAAGAACTCTCCTGACTAACCCCGAACTTCGTTCGCGCTCACTCGCGCCGACTCGCGCGCACTTCTCGTACGGCAACGTGAACACAGCGGAGGTCAGCGAAGGTACCGACCGGCATCGACTACGGACTAGCGTGGACTGCCAGACCTGAGATCACTTGTGCCAACCATCCCAATTTGTGCGTCAACGAAAATCGCACAACCGCTAACAGACTTCTCTATGGATTTTCGAAGTCTTGCATAAAAGGACGCCGAAACTCGACGTAACGTCAAAGAGCATTGTATTAAAGAAAAATTGTAGTAACGGAAAAACATATTTAATCAAGTTTAGCGTGACCGAAGGATTATCGTGAAGTGAGATATGAACTCTCCGAGCGCTTCAAATATTTGTCGCGACCTGAGCGTTAGGTTGGCAGACATGCGAAGATATGGTCACGTGACTCGGAGGGATAGATAGGTGAAAGATCCTGTATATCCAAGCTCAGATGAGCTAAATTTATGAGTTACGCGAAGAAATGTGAAACTATTGAGAGATTCTTGGTAATCAGGGAAACTCGAAGGATCAGCTGATTCTAACCGCAGTGGCGGCGATTATTGATCTACGGGAAGGCGGGCGAAACGGCCGTGTTACTTTGCGACTGATAAGCGATGTTTACCGACATGGTGTTCAACGCGGGAAGATTAAAATACTCACCCCTCGGAATGGCAGTGACGTATTGCATGATTCGAATGCCCTGCGTGTTATTCAACATGAGAGAAAGCAAATGTTTTGGAGGATTTTAAGTAAACTGCATGTATCAAGGGAGAATTTCGTTTTCTGTAAGATCTTCTGTAAGGTCATTTACACCTTTATTTGCGGCGAGATGCTCAGTCGAGCGTGATGGGTTTCGCACTCGCTAAAAATGCCACAAAGTGGTTACGTAGAGGGGATGATGGCGTGGCACTTAAGCTGATCTCCCATTGGTCGATGCTCCGTGGTTAGTCGGAACCGGTGGAATTGACCTTCGCTTACTGTTAGAGCCATGACGACCCACCGGCCCCGTACACGGATCCAAGGCGATTCGCCCATTGCGGATAGTTTTGAAGTGAGTTTTAGTTCTCTAGAAATTTTTGTATAAAAGACGTAGCAATGTACTTATGGGTTAATATAAAATATAAAAATAAAGGAAATCATTACTTCACGTTTTTATTTATCAATTGCTCGTTGCTCGCTTGCGTTTTGATAATCTCGTGAATATGATTGAACATAAAGTTACATCAATTTTACACTATATCTTTTGCGGTCTGACGATTGAACTTTCATTTGTCTTTAAGAGACCTTATTCAAGCAGTAAAGGAGTAACGCGCGAATACATTAGACCATTTAAACAAAACATACCGTATACCATTGGTCTACTTGGCTACTGTCTGTATTTTCTTTATAGGCAAATTAGTTTGTAGAGCTACAAATATGCGTTCTGTTGGATGACCAGTTATAGCCGTGGTTTAGACAAATCAATGCAGATAATAAAAATAGTAGCGACAGTCGATAAAGTTTGATTGTGTAAGATTCACTAACGCAACCGTATCCGTACTCTGGGGATTGCGATCGAATTGCACTTTCTGCAGATGGCATAAATAACGCTTTAAAATGTGTTGTACGCTACAATTGTTTGCACGTTCCACGACTGATTTGTTCCATTATATTTTGTGTATTTGCAAAACATTCGACTTTAATCATTGATCATATGATAACCTTACTGGCAGACTTAACTGGTAGAACTAGTTATGACTGCATAATATATTAAATGATAAGTTTTTTTCAGGTCAGCGTATATTAAATGCTGTATTTGTTACCAATGGGAGTCGCAAAAGTCTCTGGGATTACATATTTTCATTTGACTTCAATTTGGTTTCGTAACAACTATCGTAAAAAATCCGGGAGGTTTTTATGCTTCTTTTTATACTGTACATGTCCAGTTCTTTCCTGCAGGCGTAGTGTCCTCGATGGCTCGTAGAAACTGATTTTCTTTACATTACGATGTTATTTCAGTAGGTTCGAATAGATGGAGGGACATGTTGCGCTTCGCTTTCGTCTAAAGTTGTGTCTATTACTGGGCGGTAAGAGATGCACATCTGTCAAAGAGATAAAAGAAATAAAACTAGTATTTTTTTTTTGTTAATGCATTGTGGTACTTCGGCTGTAACAAAAATGAGACATTTTTAAATAACTTACGGAACCATTTTCAAAGGCCCAGGAGAGTGTGTGCTTACGCCAATGCTCGGTGTACGGTCGTTTCGTCTGACCTTCTAGTGGCTTTGTGTAATCATATTCATCTATTCGGTCCTGTTCGGAAACGTATTTTTATTTCCAAATACTGGTTTTAATTTCTAGTAATTTGTGATAACACATAACGGGTCCGGTAAAGAATCAATGTTCTTTTTAACATACTTTAAAGTCGTCTCTAGAATGAGCGCCTCTGGATTCTTTCCGGTTCTCCGCTGAGTACACTATGTGCATGCAGCAAAGCATCAAGTTTTGCAATTCAAGAGCTTCTATTAACTCCGAATTCCAAATCAGTGAATTATCTTGCACCTGAAAGTGTTTTAAGAACTCCAAAATAAACTTTGCGTTCTGCTTGATAAAATGTAAACATATGATAAAACTGGAAAATTTGCGAAAAAAAAATACGGAAAGAGCGCCACCTTTTATATGGCTTAAAAAGTGTATAAAATGTCATGACGTGTCAATAGTTAGAACCGTTTCCAATGTTTTACACAGAGATTGTGTAAATCACTGAATTCCATAAAAAGTTTCACATTCGATTTCATTAATGACTGAGGTCGATTGAATCAGTAAGAAATTAATGACTTAGTCCTATCTGCAATGGAAAGTGCAATTACTTTAACGTACACATATTTCCGGTAAATCGCAAGTGTACAGCCGAGTTATCTCCCGGCATCCGCGTTGCAAAATGTCGCACGTACGAAAGACACCGCAATATTTCTGCATTGTGCGTTGCATTTCATCCCGCAGATCCGCTACCAATGTCGAACCGCTTGCATAGCGTGTTGCATCGAAACGACATATTGCCTGTTCTGCAATGTCCTAATTGATTTATAAGTTTGGTTTTTACCCATTGAGATAAAATGGTAATCAAGTAGATAAGTGACTGTTAGTTGGTTCAATTAGATAAAAAATCCAGTAGTCTTTCATTACCGGATCGAGATCATCGTGTCGTTCTCCAGGACGAGTTGTACAATCGATATTATCGGCAACTGCGGTACCAAATACAACAATTTCCAAAAGGCTATTGGCACCCAATCGGTTAGCTCCGTGGACGGATGCACATGCGGTTTCGCCTGCAGCCCAAAGTCCATCTACTGGAAGATCTTCCTCGTTCTCTCGAGTCAAAACCTAAAAAATAGTCATGAATCTACATGCTTGAACAAAATCATATTCTTAATAATTTGCAGTCCGTAGTACGAAGTTGTCTATAATGCTCGTTGGCTCAAGCAAATTGATTTTATGATGCAGGTCGCACTTTTTTTGGCCATAAATGGATATCAATATGAAAGCTTCTGTTAATACTAGTTTTTTAGTTTGCTTTCACCATAAAATTAAGGTTCTATAATCACGACGGTTCCGTGCTGTCGGTGGGCTGCAAAGTATTAACATACATTATAAACAATATTTATATTTCGATATATTTTATAGCATATGCCATCATGGTTGTACTACAGTTGTGTGGAAGATATAAAAAAGGTTTAATGCATGCCCGAAAAAAAAAAAGTAAACCATATGATTTCGCTCACCTGTGCCCGCCAATTTGTTGGAATACCACCCATATTGTAGTGCACAGTCGGAACAACAGGAATTGGTTCTTTTTCGCAGTTTACTCCAGCGAAGACCCACGCTAGATGCGCTATACCAGGTAATTTAGTACGTATCGTTTCTGCAGGTAAATGTTGTAACTGCAGATGGATATGATCCTTCTTTGGGCCAACTCCCCTGAGAAAACATACAGATAGTTTCAATATTACAAATAAAGTAATAACATTGTTTTTTCAAGCAAGCATTCTTACCGTCCTTCAAATATCTCGACCGTAATTGCACGTGACACTACGTCGCGTGATGCTAGATCTTTAGCATTAGGCGCGTATTTCTCCATGAAAAATTCTCCTCTTGAGTTTACCAATTTTCCACCTTCCCCTCTGCTGCCTTCCGTGACAAGTACACCAGTTCCATAAATGCCTAAGTCAAAGCGATGAAGGTGACGAAAGTAATTCTATTTTTTTAAGAAATTCTCCGCTTTTTGGAAAGTTCATCGAATCTTGTGAATGTAATACAAGTACAAACCAGTGGGATGAAATTGAACAAACTCCATGTCTTGGAGAGGTAGTCCTGCTCTAGAAGCCATGGCCATTCCATCTCCAGTACAGGTGTGAGCTGCGGTACAGGAGAAAAAACACCGTTCTGCACCGCCTGTTGCTAGAATCTGCAAAAGGAAACCTGGGTTGTAGATCTCCATCATTATTTCAAATATTCATCAGCAGACGACATTTGTACTTGGAAACGAACCATAACGGATAACAAATTCCAAGTTTCAAAACACTCGTTTATATTATTTAAAAGTATTTCTTCTAAGATCGGATTGTAATTGGTATCAAAGTACATTAATATCTTTTTCTTAGTCTATTAAACCGTCTACTTGGCATTTATAAGATCATCTACCGTATGATGGGCTTTAAAGCGATGCATCTTTCCAGTTTCTAACTCCAGAGCTAAAACTCCTTTGCAGCAACGACCGTGAATCAATAAATCCAGAGCATAGTATTCGATGAAATAGTGAACATCATGGCGGAGACTTTGACCGTAGAGGGTGTGGAGAATAGCATGTCCCGTTCTATCAGAAACCGCGCAAGTTCTGTGCGCTTGGCCACCTTTTCCGAATTGTAAAGACTGGCCACCGAATGCTCGTTGATAAATTTTTCCCTCCTGAGTTCTGCTAAATGGGCAACCTAAGGCAAAATTCATTATTTTCATTTAAAAATCATTGAGAATGAGTGTTAGCCTAAACAAATATATGTTAATACTTCGTTTAAAGGACTAATTGCAAAGAAGTATGCCATGCAGTTCTGACTAAAATGGCATGTCATTTAAATAATTTAAAATAATCTGAAAGAAAACCGTTACCACTAATTGGGTCAATCCATAAAGTTGTAGAATAAATAAAGTATTTTAGTGAAATTTAGTGGAATGTGCGATTCCTATTCCGTCGCGTTTGCAATTCTATTTAATAATTTCATTTAATAATAACCATAATTTTCTAATTCGAAGACTGCTCTGGGTGCTTCTCTAGTGAGAAAGTGTATGGCGTCTTGATCGCCCAACCAATCAGACCCTTTCACCGTGTCGTACATGTGAAACAACCAATTATCGGGCTCATAATTACTGATAGCGGCATTAATGCCACCTTGGGCTGCCACTGTATGCGATCTTGTAGGGAAGAGTTTTGTCACCACTGCCACGCGAAAGCCTTTGCTACCTAATCCGAGAGCTGCCCTTAATCCTGCGCCACCAGCACCCACGATAACGCAGTCATAACAATGATCTACCATGGGATAACTCTGGTATACAAATCAATACAAATTATTCATATGTTTTATAAAATTGAAGTTGTTTATCTATTCTATTTAATTTTTATTCAAGAACCTCACCTCGATATGAGGAAATATAATCGGTTTGAATTACGTACGTTATTATCTTTTATGGCGCATTGGCCTCTGTCACCTGAGCTGATGTTCACGTGTACATTCCGAAAAGTATAGGTTGGCGGATTTCCACGAATTGCGGCTCTCTGAATTATAAAATTTGTAGACATTTAGATAAAATCATTTATTAAAGCGAGTTTTAGCCTTACCAAGATGTTTCGCGTGGTCAGTCGCTGCTTTAGACGACTTATTAAGGCCATTGAGTTTGAAATTTTAAACATCTGTCAGGTTACTGAACAGTTCTTTGATGGGCATTGAATGAAAGGGTTAACGTTTTCATTTGTTGACACAAGAAGATCAAGAGATGTGTAAATTAATACACGATACCATCATATGGGTGTTATTTTACTAGAAAAGTTTATTAGTTTTATAAGTGCAAAAGGAAATATAATTAGATTATGCAAGGGAATAATGAAATTGACGCCATTAATTTAAAAGTTACTGTAGAGAAACATGTAATTTTAACGAGTTTCTCGCTCAAAAATGTATTTGGCTCGAAACTCTATCGAGTTTCTTGATGAAGACATAGTTCTAAACAAATTAGATTTGCTAACGAAGTGCAGTGATTCGCTTAATGCAGGCTAATTATTTTAAATTCTCCGTATTTATATTCATTGTTTTTATTTATTTTTCCTTCATGATTTTAACATTTGTCATAAATTTTTTACTATTTGATATGTAGGGGCGAGATTAAAATGTTGAAATGAATCACTTACCCTGCCCTCTTTCGGAAATATTTGCAACTACTTCCAGAGTTCACTTTCAGCACTCAGATGGTAACTATTATACTGTATCGCTAACAACATAAAGAGGTTTCGCACGAATAATGGAGTAGATTCTGATTGTTGAATCTGTAGAAAACTACGTTTCTAACACCTTCAATATGTGACATGTTCTTACCGTGTAAAATGAAATTGTGTCTAGAAAGATAAACGGTTAATGTACATATGTATGTACATATTTATGGACCTATACAATAACCAAAGAATATACGTTTCAAAGGTGCGAGTTTCTTATAAAATTGTAAGTCTATTGCAGATACTGGTAATAAACAATCTCAGAAGACAATGTTTTCTGTAAATTATCGGAGCAACTTCTTATAATATTTCTGGTACTTTCAAAGCAGTAATTGTGCATCACTATTGAAGGATGAATCAGCTGCCGAATATGACAAGATTTCTGAAAGAAGACGATGATACAGATTTTACACCCTCTGCAGGGTATGCTAATTAGTTTTGTTTAAATCTCTATGCTAATAAAACATAAATAATATATTATTGATATATGATAGCAAAATACTTTTACAATATTATAGGTATGTGAATAAATTGATTTATAGGTTTTATCATATTTAACACATTCAGTGCCGAAACAAATGATGAGTACACTGTCGTAAACCGACTGTGGGGCGTATACGTCCAAAACGGCATGGAACGTGTTAAGTATACTTAAGTTATTTATTTAAGAGAGGTACAAATGTCATAGGCAATTTTGCATTCTGCTTCTTGTAAAGTATATTTGCATTAATTGCAGTTCAAATTTAGCTGCTATTTTTGGTTCAAAGCAAAAAAAGGACCATGATATGCAAGTTCCACAAAAAAGGCAGTCCACGGAGTCTTCTGCACAAACTAGACCATTCCCAAAACCAGAAGTTATTCTAGCAAAGGCGGTACATGCATATAAATTGTAAGTATATATTTCGAATTATGATAATATGTGTAGTTAATAATCATTGAATATTAATGAAATTTAGCTTACATTAATTGCATTCTAGATCACATGGCCATTACAAATCAGTTGGAAAACTGGGTATTGCTTTGATTGGAAATGAATTAGCAAAAGACTTTCAATTAATATTATACAAAGGCCAGCAGAATCATATATCTTTTGCTAATATTGTGCCTGATTTTTCATATACTGTGCAACCTAATAATTATTCAACTTATTATGATAAGAACAGAGATAACTGGTCCATTTTATTTGAAAACAATGAAGCATGCCAAGAATTTGCAAGGGAGGTATGCTTGTCTAAATACTTCTCAAGGAAAGAAAGAAGGGATGACATAGAAATGTATCAAGATTTAATAATCACTGACAAAGATGTCATTGTAAATGATGGAGATAAAATTTCAATTAGCTATGCTGTTTCTACAGATATTGCACAACCCATCAAAATGCAGAACACTCCATTGCAAATTGTTATCGAAATGTCGGCGCAAAATAACTGGGAGAAATTACTTTTAGGTATGAGCAAGAATCAGAAAAAGTTTATAATCATTCCTCCTTGCAAGCAGGTAAATTATGATAATAAACTGTAAACGCCAGATAGACAATATTCAGAAGATAGTACAATGATTTAGGTAGAAATTATTTACCTGTTAAATGCTACATTGTAAGGGAATGTTTTGAAATATATATAGGTGGGCCTTGGTCCTGGATTTCCAAAAGATAGAGATATTGCTTTAGAAGTTACATTAATGGATATATTACCAAAGGAAGATTCTCTCACATCCCAAATATCTGCTTCTCCAAGTGGCACAACATCAATTTTGTCAAGAATAGCAGAAATGAAACAGTCAATGCTTCCTAAATTGCCTATATCTGCATCAACAGACTCTGATGACACTGAAGTAAAGAACTATTTCTTAACGACTAATTTATTAGATTTATAAATTTTAGAGAATATTCATTAAATATGTATTTTCAATTTCAGGATGAAGTACAGCGTAAATCATTTCCATCGCAAAGGGTAACTATTTAATAAATTTTTAACCAGTCTTATTAAAACTGTATTTAACATTCTGCATATCATTATAAATAGATTCATGAATTATTATTAATAGTGAGAAGTGTATTCCATTTTTTGACGTTCATTTTACAAATTTAGAAAAGTCTTATGAAGGATTAAGGAAATGTTCACTGAAATCGTTTGAAGATATAAAAAGTACAGCTAGTACAAATATATTACATTACATGTTTATATACAACTATATATAACATATTTTATTGGGACAATCAAATATCAGTTTACTAATATTTGTTAGATAGAACCGCTAGAATTACCAATACAGAAAAGGCACTCTCGTTTAAATGAAAAGCTTTCGAAGCTACTGCAGCATAAAGTACAGGAAAGATCAAATCCTGTAGATATAGAATCGGATACATCTACTGTTGCTCATCGAGCTTTAATTTCAACTCAACATGTGTCATCACAGTGGCCTACAAGTCAAATCCAGGTATTACAAAAAACATGCTTGTGCCCAATTCAAGATAGTTGACTACTTTTTGTTTAAAATATTACAGCCACAATATGTAAATGTCAATGGTCAATTGTATCCTATGCAGCAGCATTCAATTGCTCAACCGATAACAGCAGGATTGGATCCAACTTTAAATATATTCTTATCAGAAACAAGAACACAAAATGCTGAAATTCGAATGGGAATGTCCAAAATTGCAGATAATGTTCAGAAACTTCTTGACAAGGTACAATTTTTCCATCTCAAATACCTTACAGGTGACTCAGAGATCTCTTTCTTACAGTTTCATGATCTTGAAATGCAACATGCTTTATCTCCAACAAGTGAGAAAAATATGGAAAATACACTAAAGTTGTTACTTCATACGAAAATTTCTGAAAGTAAAAATGATGATAATGAATTTTCAAGAAATGCATCTTCCAGTAAAACTCTTTCTAGCGAAGATTTATCCATGTTAAATCTTCAGTTAAAGAAAACAGTACAGACTTTGAAGGATGAATTAGAACAAACAAATGGTATGTTAACATTTAAAGTTTATGCTTTGTTTTATACTCTTCGAACGTTCAGTATAGTTTCAATAAAACTATTTCAGAATCAGTAGTTAACTATATACAACGTTATAAAGATATTGAAAAGGAAAAAAATAGTATAGAAGAAACAAATATTCAGTTGAGTGAAACGATTAAGCAGCTTAAGTTGTCATTAGAAGATAAACAGAATTTGCTTGAGAAGATGACAACAGACCTTAAAACAAATAAAGATCTTGCAGATAATTATCAGAAACAAGTAACTGATATGACAAGAAAAATTGCTGAACTAAATTCTGCATGTTCATCATTGAAGAATAGTTTATCAGCCGTTAATGATAGGGAAAGCAATGTAAGTTTTACAAGTTTAATTATTTGATAAAAAAGAAAATGAATATGTACATTTCAGGGTAATGAAAAATCCAGGGAAATAAAGAAAATTATGAATGAAACGTATCAAACATTGTTAGCTGCATTCACAGAAAACTCTTATTCNTATGTATTTATACACTCATTTTCACATTTTAGGTTTTTAATACACTTGAGGCACCACCTCCTATACCACCTCTGGATTTGGATCCTGAGAGCGAATGGAGATCGTAACAAACATATATGTAAAATGTTTTTAGCTAATATATTGTACATCAACAAAAAAAAAATATATGTAATTACAATAATAGTGCAATTACAATATAAAACCCACTGTTACTTCTGATATAGCAATTTTTATAAAAGTGTTTTACATTCTCCTAGTAAGAATTTTGAGAAGTAAATAAAAATGGAAACTATTCAATAATTAACCATTCAATTATTTGCACTGTTAATAATTAAAATCATTATACCATTAGTACAAGCATTGTTCAATTTAAAATATTTAAAGGAAATAAAAATTTTTTTAATATAATCATTAATTTTCATTTTAAGAATTTTGTTACAATTATATCATAATAACGAGAAATGACAAATTGATTATTATGAAAGTTGCAATTACTATATAATACGGAGAAAAGAAAACAGACAATAGATGTGTTGTTATTCCGCTAGTTGCAGCATATAAGTTAATGGCGAAAAAGCGGGTGACGGGCTCAGTTCGTCGTCGTCTTTAATAGCTTCATCGATTACCCACGTAAAATTTAGTGTTACATATTTGAAATCTTTTGAAACGTGGTAAAAATCGCAAATCAACATTACTTTTATAATCGCGCGAATGTATCGTTCGGCCGTCTCTTAAGAATTTTCATTTGGCTGTGCTCACGGTCGACCATGTCGGCTTGTGTCACGCCAATCAAAATTGAACGTAACCTCAAAAAATGTACTAATATATAGGGGTATATAGAGGATCACCACTTTATGAAAGAATTATAATAATGTAGCAAATTATAGCACTCATATTATTTTTCTAGCATTAATTTAAGATGGTTTGGACCGATCAGATGGCAACAGAATCTATTCAAATACCTATTAGTAGGTTAGACAATTAATGCAATGCAAAATCAAGATATTTTGATTACAGAACTTGATTAAAGAAAGAAAACTTGTACTTTATTATGCACTTTTTTTGAAAATTATATATCTGGAAAATATGCTCGTAGATGATGGTGGAGCTCACTACACTACGCTGACTACATTGGAACAATCTTTTACCATTTTTGGATTAACCCAAGGAATAAATATAAAGTGGACAAAAAAGCTTGCATTTATCCATATTGAATTAAATGACGATGGATATAAATGCTGTTGGAGAAGATGATATATCCTTCCGACTTGGCGAAATGTTTGATAGTTATGAACAGCTAGAACAAAAATTAGAGAAGTTCTCTAAACGTTGTCTTGTGCATTATTGGAGGCGAGATAGTAGAACTGTTAGTGGAGCACATATGAAGACAGCCCGACCCATTAGTGAACGATTAAAGTACTATTCCGTCAAATATGCTTGTATATATGGTGGTCAAAAGTTTTTGCCACGAGGAGTTGGCAGAAGACAATCCCAGTATGTTTGTAACATCTGTCAAAATATTATTTAAAGAGTAATTTCCTACTGATTTATACAAACTAGTTTGCAGGTCTATCCGAACCAATTGTCCAGCTCATATTATGCTTAGAGCCTCAAAAGATGGAACCAAATTGGAAGTCACGAGTGTAAATAATGAGCACAACCATGAAATTTCAGAGGTCTGTATAAAGAAATATTTATTTGCTCTTAAACTTAGTAGATCTATTATTATTAATGATTGGCAAATATAGAAATTAAGTTTATGCATATTAAGATATATGATCCGGTAAAATATTCATTTTATATGCACATCCATGTTTTGTATTGGTTATTTTTAATTTTGTATGTACTCATTCCTTTATATAGGAGCTTTTTAAAAACCTTCCACAAGAGCGTAAACTTTGTGGAGAAATTAAACAGGAAGTTCAAGATCTCATGCAACTTCATATAGATCGCAAGAGACTGAAAGAGTATGTTCGTTTACGTACAAATAAAGTTCTGAGATCTAAAGATTTATTTAATATAGCTGCAGCTAACAAGCAGAAACGAGAAATCACACCCAAAAGGGCATATCAACTTTTCAAAAAAATTCATGATATTGAAAAGTTGCAAGGTAGGGACCATAACATAAAAATATATTCAGAATCTGAAGATGAAATTGCTCAAACAATTAAAAGAATGAAGACAGAGCAAGAATCACCTTGGGGCCAAGATGTATGTTGCTTATATATAATCTATGGTTACATATAATACCTGCTGTTTTTTTTACATGAATTTCTAATGTATTTAATTTCTGATTAGGGTTTGTCTGTTGAATTAGAAGGAAGTGAAGGAAATGATGGTGAAGAAACTTATGGTGCACAACTAGCACAAGAGGATACAGTGGATGAAATAGATGCATCTGAAGATCCTTTATTGAGAACTGATAACGATGGAGATATAATATCTGCTAATGGAGAAATAGTTGGAGAACTTGTCATGGAAGATGGAGATCCTTCTGTAATTGTAGAATCCATTGTGAATGCTGATGGTTCTGTCTTTGTGGATGAAAGGGAGTTTAACCCTTACTGCAATAACCATTTAGCACACACTGTGCACGGCAGCCAATCTCCTACTTCTCAAGGTATATAAATTTGTATTTAGTAAGAATCCTTTTTTATTAGAATATAAAATAAGGATTTGTTTTTCTCAAAATAGTTATAGACATCCAAAGTATCACACCATCAACTGAAGTTAGAAAAATTACCAGAAAGATATCTACTTCTCCTTCTTCGGTACATCAGAGTAGATCTTTATCCCCTGGATCACAGCTTACATCGAAATCACCAAATACCTTTCATGATTCTTCAGATTCTAGAATCTGGATAATGAAAGAGGCCACTAAAGCTGAAGCAGAACAAGATAGTTGTCTTGAAAGTGAAACAAATAGTTTAAAAAACTCAAGATTATCTAAAACAGAAACAGATGCTGTTGAAGTAGTGTTATCAGAAGAAACCAGCCATCGACTTTTACAGGAACAATTAGCAGTGCTTAAAGCAGAGCAAGGAAAATTATATCATGAAACGGAAATGTTGAAGCTGAAGAAGGATAAACTGAAGTTACAAATGAGTTGTTATACAAATGAAATTAGAAAACAAGAAATGGAAAAGGAAAAACTTAGGCTTGAGATAAAATTACTTAAATCAAAAGTTATGGAAGATACGAACGATGTCTCTCATTATATTTTTGTACCCTGAGCTCACCTTAATACTGTACATTGAAACAGTCTAGCTAGTCCTGGTTTTCGTATGTATATAATGAAGTATTAATGCACAAGTGTTAATTATTTAATTGCATATTGTGCAATGGGTTCAACAAACTAAGACGTGTATCGACAACGTGAAACATGTTAAAGAATGTTCTTATAATTACCAGACATGGTAGCACCTTCTGTTTTGTTTAATTTATATTTAATACTTATAAAAAGATATGAACATGGCCAAAAATTCATTGACAAACCTGTAAATTGTGCAGTTAATACTGCACAATAAACGGCGTATATTAACGGTAAATATGAATTTTTTGTTATAATGTAATAAATATGATTTTAAGCAAGGAAACCGACCACCATCAACAAGAAACATGCGACTCAATATAACAGTTATAGAGATAATAAATTATTTTTAAAAATTTACTTTTTAATGATCGATAAACCTGTTGTTTTTTTTATAGAATATTTAAAAGTTGAAAGTTTTATAAATTATTGAGTCTTCTACAATTTGTTTTTGATTTGCGAAGCATCGACAGTAGAGCCGATACCGACTACTGACGCGTTACGGCAAAGAATACAGAAGTCTCCATAGAAGCCCAGTTCCCGTGTTGACGCTTGATACCCAATAAATACTAGAGATGAGTTGGGAGATTTTTCACGGGCAGGGTCGCGCGATCGCATTTGAACTTGTACAATTTTTCTCAAAACTAAGTGTCTGGTGTACCTAGTCGTTTGAAATTGTATAAAGTGAGTATAAAGACCCTAAAAAGGGTCTTGATAACTATGAAATTCCGTTTTTATAAAGAAACTCAAAAATTTGAATATACAAAGGTGCGATAAGGAACTGCGCATGCACAAGTCGGTAATGGGGTCCCTATATAAGGCCGAGCGCGCGATCGGAGCATCATTACCATCATTACTAGAGTTACGTTGGGAGATTGCTCACGGGCAGGATCATGTGATCGCATCTTGTGCTACCCTCTGGTTTCGTACGTTAGCTTTCACCGTTTTTTACCGCCAAGGGCGGTGCCACGAATTTCTGATAGGAGCTCGCGCACTCGCGATGGCGGTACAATCTACCAGTCGCCGATGGCGACTCACGAACATGTACTCGTGATGGTAATACCATGCGGCAGTTGATGGTGGTGGCTTACCTACGCTTACCGACACTGCTCGCTTTTGATGGTAAGGGAAGAACACTCGTGACGCTCCATTTGACTTTATCTACTTATCTACTACTATTAAGTACATTGATGCCGCGAAGTCGACGTAATGCGGAGCTTTGGGGCACGCGCGGTGTCGCGTACGGAACCCTCATGCAGCGAATCTGAGTGAGTGCGATCGCTCCTAGAAATCTTAGCGCGTCCCAACCAGCCAAGCGCCAAGCTACGGGCCGAGACGTTGAGTATGTGTGCATTTGGCGCGACACTCGACGAGCATGCGTGAGAGTCGAATATTGCGAAAATCCTCTCGAGGCTTCCCTAACCTCGGATATAAGCCGAGTCATTTCGCGTATTTTTTTTACATTTCCCTACTAGCGTTATCGAGCGTTTTCGAGTGTTTTCGAGCATTATCGAGCGTTTTTCGAGCGGTTTCAAGCGTTTTCGAGCCTTATCGAGCGTTTTTCGACCGTTTTCGAGCGTTTCTCGATAATTTTCAGAGCGGTTTCGAGCGTTTTCAAGCGTTATCGATCGTTTTTGAACGTTTTCGAGCGTTTCTCGATCATTTTCAGAGCGGTTTCGAGCGTTTTTAGACTGTTTTTTAGGGTTACCGAGCGTTTTTCAACCGTTCTCGAGTGTTTTTAGTGCGTTCCGTGCCTTCCGTGCGTTTTTAGAGTCTTTCGGAGCGTTATGGAGCGTTTTCGAGCGTTATCGATCGTTTTCGCGCGTTTTTCAAGTGTTTTCGAGCCTTATCGAAGGCCGCACAGTGCGGTTGCGTGTTGTTAAGTGCAATAGAGTGCCGAAGACTGCCGGAGAGTTCCGCAGAGTGCCGGAGAGTGCCGGAGAGCGCCGGAGAGTTGCCGGAGAGTCCCGGAGAGTGCCGGAGAGTTGCCGCATAGTGACGGAGAGTTGTCGCAGTGTGCTGCAGAGTGCTGGAGAGGGCCGTAGAGGGCCGGAGAGTGCCGGAAAATTGCCGGAGAGTTGCCGCATAGTGACGGCGAGTGCCGCAGAGTGCCGGAGAGTTGCCGCAGAGTGCCGGAGAGTTGCCAGAGAGTGCCGAAGCGTACCGCAGAGTGCGGTAAAGTGCCTTAGCGTGGCCTAGAGTGCCGTGTAGTGCCGTAGAGTGCAGTATATTGCATTAGAGTGCTTTAACACTCTAATTAGAGTGCCTTAATTAGCACTCTAATCTGAATGCCTTAATTAGCACTCTAATCTGAATGCCTTTGTTAGAGGGCCGTTATTAGCACTATAATTAGAGTGCTACGACACCCTAATTAGAGGTCATAATTAGAGTGCCATAATTAGAGTGCATCAGGGCACTCTAATTACAGTGCTGTCATGCACTCTAATGCACTCTAATGCAATATAATGCTCTCGACGGCACTCAACGGCATTATACGGCACCCTACGCACCCTAAAGCACTCTACGGCACTGTAGGGCACTCTAGGGCACTCTATGGCAATCTAGAGCATGCTAGGGCATTTTACGGCACTCTACGGCACACTACGGCACTCTACGGTTCTCTTCTGCACTCTGGGACACTCTACGGCACTCTACGGCACTTTAGGACACTCTAGGACACTACGGCATTCTAGGGCTCGCTAGGGCACTCTAGGGCACTCTAGGGAACTCAAGGGCACTCTAGGGCACTCTAGGGCACTCTAGGGAACTGTAGGGCACTCGAGGGCACTGTAGGCCTCGCTAGGGCACTCTATGGCACTCTCCGTCACTCTGCGGTAAGTCTCCGGCACTCTCTGGCAACTCTACGGCACTCTCCGGCACTCTGCGGCACTCTCCGGCACCCTGCGGCACTCTGCGGCAACTCTCCGGCACTCTCCGGCAACTCTCCGGCACTCTGCGGCACTCTGCGGCAACACTCCAGCACTGTCCGGTAATTCTCCGGCACTCTCCGTCACTCTGCGCCCACTCTCCGGCACTCTCCGGCACTCTCTGGCACTCTGCGGCACTCTCCGGCACTCTGCGACACTCTGCGACACTCTCCGGCACTCTGCGGCACTCTGCGGCCACTCTCCGGCACTCTCCGGCACTCTCCGGCACTCTCTGGCACTCTGCGACACTCTGGGATACTCTACGGCACTCTGCGGCACTCTGCGGCAACTCTCCGGCGCTGTCCGGTAACTCTCCGGCACTCTCCGGCACTCTGCGACACTCTCCGGCACTCTGCGGCACTCTGCGGCCACTCGCCGGCACTCTCCGGTACTCTCTGGCACCCTCCAGCACTCTGCGGCACTNGTATAGAATTTGTATATTTATACATTCATAATAATTAATATTTTTATGTTAATAAATATGTTACTTTTTGACTAATGTTTAATGTAATTATTTCAGTTCTTACAGTGATTTAAAACAGGCGTTGCGCTACTGACACTTTTGTTACTTCTTTTATGTTTAATATACTGTTTTCTTACATTTGTGTGTCAGTCTAAGCAACGTCTGTTTTGATCATTGTAAGTACTTTTTAAATCCCGAAAATGTCCCTTCCTTTAATAAATGAATTTGAATAGCCCGCCAAATATTTTAGTTCGCGAAGAGGGTTTACTCCAACCGAAGACGGCGGTAGTGCATAAAGCGTTACACCCCAATACATGGCAATGTCGGCCCCCTGTATTTCAAAGACCGAGCTTAACCTAGCTCAATCATATGTCACATGCAATCACATGGCTGGTTACTAACTCTGAACTAACAAAATTGTATTCTATTGTATTATATGAAAAAGTACTTCCTGAAATATTACGTGCTAATTACATAAATATCAATGCTTCAATCGTATTTAATTTTATTAATATTGTGCATCAAATCATAATATGGTCCCAGGCATACAGATTAATGCAGGAAGTCGAATGTTACTAATTCTAAAAGCAAACTGTTAAGAATTCTCAATTTATTAACATCAACTATAAAATAGATATATAATGGCCAAACGACCAGAGCACTTGGCACCACCTGAAGTTGTAAGTTGAATTGTTGAAAAGTTTTTCTTTTTTTTTTACTACAATTTCATAATTATTCTACCTTTTCAGTTTTACAATGAAGAGGAAGCAAGAAAATACACACAAAAGTATGACTTTATTTTAATTTTTGAGAGACTTATTTTATATTTTACTAATAACACATGACCATTAATATGTTATTTATTTTAGTTCACGAATGATTGACATTCAAGTGCAGATGTGTGAACGAGCTATTGAATTGCTGTTACTTCCAGAAGATCAACCATGCCTTCTTTTAGATATCGGTTGTGGATCTGGATTAAGTGGCAGCGTTCTTGAAGATCAAGGACATTTATGGGTAGGACTTGATATTTCACCAGCCATGTTAAGTATGTACATTTATGTTTCTTAAAAATAATTAATGGCGATATTTATTAACACACTAATATTATTACAGATGTAGCTTTAGAAAGAGAAGTAGAAGGAGATTTGTTATTAAACGATATGGGTCAGGGTGTACCATTCAAAGCTGGTTGCTTTGACGGAGCTGTTAGTATTTCTGCTCTACAGTGGTTATGTAATGCAGACAAAAAGTCACATAATCCTGTAAAAAGGTTACAGCGATTCTTCACAACCTTATACGCCAGTCTCTCAAGATCAGCCAGAGCTGTATTTCAGTTTTATCCAGAAAATGGTGATCAAATTGAATTAGTAACAACTCATGCTACTAAAGCTGGTTTTTTTGGTGGTGTGGTTGTAGATTTCCCAAACAGTACAAAGGCCAAAAAATTTTTCTTAGTTTTAATGACAGGAGGTTCTCAACCCTTACCAAAGGCTCTGGGTGAAAGTGATGACAAAACATCAGTCAATTATATAGCAAGGAGGTATTATCTAAGTACATTAATAAATGAATTTAAATAACTTAAATTAATGATTATGTATTTCTTTGATTATTAAAAATACAATTGTATCACTTTTATTTTAGGGAACAAGCAAAAAAGGCAAGAGGAAAATCGATTAAAAAAAGTAAAGATTGGATTTTGGAAAAGAAAGAGAGAAGACGTAGGCAAGGGAAAGATGTTAGAGATAATTCTAAATATACAGGGCGTAAAAGAAGTGGACGCTTCTAATATTTTGTGATATCAGCACATTTAATATTGTTTATGTACAGATTAAAGATGAATATATCTCACTCAATCTTACAAAACATTGAATATAAAAAATGTCTGATTTGTTTCCTTCCCAGTTCATGTTTAATGTTTTTCTTTTATCTTTTTGCACTTATTTTTCACATATGCTCTACTCTGAATGAAAAATTATCTAATTATTAAATCATTCATTCCGATATTAAAAATTGTGATAAACGTTTATGTACTTTTGCTGGAACAATTGCTTCAAGTTCATTTCTATCAAGCCATTGATACTTTGTATTTTTTTCAATGCTGCCTCCTAAATACTTTGCTAAAAAATAAAATATTTTTGCACCATAAGAACCCTGTTCTCTAATACTATTCGGATATCTATATTTATATACACCAAAAGGAGCATTTCCATAAAATCTAACATTAAGTTGTGTTCCGCAAGCATCCGCCAAAACTCTTTCTGCTGCCTAAAAAGCAAATCATTCAGTACAAATCATATGGTTTCTGAATTTAAAAAAAAATATAAATTTTTTACCTGTCTCATAGTTTCTCCTTCTTTTCTAAGACCTTGGGGAGGTAACCAATATTTATTGTCTCCTAGTTTTTGTTCCGTCAATAAAAGCAGATTCCTGTCAAGTTTACGCTGTAAAGAATCTGTTATATTCTTTTGATCAGCTTCTGTAATCAATCAATGTTCTCGTAATTCATATGCATTAAAGATCTTATTTGAAAGATGAATAATAAAATAATCAATACCTGTAATCCTTGGGGCAAATTGAAATTGTAAAAATTCTTTTTCGTACTTATCTTCTAAATCTTGAGCTGTTTCATTAATTACTACATCTGCATCAATGTCTATCATTTTCATTTCTAAACGTTTTTGCTCCAATTCTGAACGTAATTCATGATCAGATTTCATACTATTTTCAAATTCAATCTCATTTAACATTTTCTTAAATCTAGTTTGAAGTTCATTCATAGGTTTGGTAATAACTGGATGTCTCTCTAAGCAAACTGCACTCCATAAATCCCATTTCACTTTGTTGCATGTTAAAGTTAAATCTATAGATGCAGATGATTCTTGATGTAACAGAGCTGCAAATTTCAATTGTAAAACAACCAAACCTAATTATAACAAAGTGAAAATAAAGACAAATATAATAACTCATACGGACTTGCAGCATTTAACAAAATGCTTCAGTGTAATTTAATTTGAATATTACATATAACTGTGTTACAAAAATCCTTACTTCTATGTAATTTTATTAGTTAACATACCTGACCCTACATTCAAAAACGATGCCGAATGTACTCTCAATAACTTTAGCATTGTAAGGATCACCTTATTTTCATTCCCAAGATCTAACCTTAAACTGTTACCATAGCCGAAGAATATAGAAGTATCCATAGAACCCCAGGAACCGTGTTGATGCTGATACCCAATAAATAATATTAACCAAGCGTAACACTAGATGGCAGGACGGGCAAATTAAAGAATTACCAGAGATGCGTTGAAGCAGAGATGAGCAGAGGGAAATGTAAAAATCATACGCGAAATGACTCGGTTTATATCTGTAGTTAGGTAAGTCTCGGGAGGATTTTTCGCAGTATTCGACTCTCACGCATACTCGTCGAGTATAGCGCCGAACGCACACATACTCAACGTGTCGACCCGTAGCTTGGCGCTTGGCTGGTTGGGACGCGCGAAGATTTATAGGAACGATCGCACTCTCGCAGATTCGCTGTAGAGTTCGGTACGCGACACACCGACGCGTGCCCCAAAGCTCCACATCACGTCGACTTCGAGGCAACAATGTACTTAATAGTAGTAGATAAGTAGATAAAGTCAAATGGAGCGTCACGAGTGTTCTTCCCTTACCATCAAAAGCGAGCAGTGTCTGTAAGCGTAGGTAAGCCACCACGGTCATTGCCGCATGGTATTACCATCACGATTACGTGAGTCGCCAACGGCGACTGGTAGATGGTACCGCCATCGTGAGTACGCGAGCTCCTATCAGAAATTCGTTGTGCCGCCCTTGGGGGCAAAAAACGGTGAAAGCTAACGTACGAAACCAGAGGGCAGCACAGGTTGCGATCGCACGATCCTGCCCGTGAGCAATCTCCCAACTCGTCTCTGATCCAATCTATCTCTCTGCTATATATTTCAGTGGTTTCGGAAAACTGTTAGTATCGTTAGTATGGCTGCCAACCGGCAGAGTGCAGTGCCGTTTGTTTTTACTTTCCGCGGCAAGGCTGACTATTGGATACATGAAACAATTATCTTATATGATTTAAATTGTTGTACAATGTTTGCGGAGGACCTACAAAGAGAATTTTATAATGTAATTCAAGGGAAAGTAAGCCAGTTATTAATATTTCTTAAATGCATTATAGCAATATCACCGATTTCTCGAAATCTTATTAGGTTAAGTATCATAAATCCTTTTCAGCAGTATTAATTATTTATAAAAGTTTTTTAATTTTCCTAACATTCAGTCGATAAAGTATATAAATTATTCATAACACGTTAATACGTGTTCCTGCAACCTAATGGTTGCAGCTGTCTGTTAGATCTTGGAAAAGTTTAAAAATCATTCTCTTTGCATTGACAAAATTTAAGTCTATATTATTTACTTTCCTAAATTATATAGTTTTTATTTTGGAATTAAATATAATAATCAAATAATACGTACAAGCTGATTGTTATGTAGTAGTCATATTGTTTTATTCAAAGCTTTAATAAATTCTTTGACAATTATTTATAATGTGCAGAGTACTGGTTAAGGATTAGAACGATTCAACTGCTAATGTGAAATATTTCTTTTAAATAGCTTAAAACAGAAAGTCTAGTTTACATAAAAGATACTAAAAGCATAGGGGTAAAGGAAATGCAAACATTAGCCACTATACTACATTTGTTTCAGCAATGCTTATTACTGGTGAATTTTGACGTTGATGCAATTTGTGCCTGTAAAATCTTACAAAATCTCTTTAAAACCGATAATACACTGTATACGCTTGTGCCAGTTCAGGGTGTTCAAGATGTGATATGTGCATACGAAGAAAATTATACAGAGGTAACTGCATTAAAATATTTATATTTACTTATCAGATGATATTGGATTTAAGTGTCTGATTCAGACATGTACACAACAATTATAAGTTGCCTACTAGTATTCTAAAGTCAACTTTGTATGTTATCGATTATTATGTTTCAGGTGAAAAATATAATTATGATTAATTGTGGAGGAAGTGTAGATATAATGAATTTACTGCAACCACCAGAAGACACAATATTTTTTATTCTTGACAGTCACAGACCATATCATTTATGCAATATTCATAATGAAGGACAGATAAAAATTCTTGGTAAACCAGATATAAATGTACCTGATTATGAAGATGTATTTAGAGATGATTCGGTAGGTTTTTGTAATAATTTTAATTTTTAGTAAATATTTGGGACCATTGTTTATATTCAATTTTCTTTTTTATGCAGTCCGATGAGGAGGAAGATGATGCTCAAGTAGAAGAGGAAAATGAATCAAGAGATGTAAAAAGAAGAAGGTTAAATGAGGAGGATATAATTAAAAGACGTCAAAGACGAGAATGGGAAGAAAAGAGATCCGATATTATTTTTGAGTACACTCAGTACAGTTATTACAGCAAATCGGTATGAGCAGAATTTTTTAATATTTATTTAATATAGCATCATTTTGTTTAATCCCATGTTTTAATTTTTTTGTTGTAGACTGGTATGAGTATCTACCATGAATAGTTATTATGTTTCTGGTTATTTTTACTAATGAATACTTACATATTTCATCAACAGAGCGCTGTACTGATGTTTGAATTGGCCTGGAAATTATCAAAAGACAGTATGGATATGGTATGGTGGGCAATTGTGGGTGCAACGGAACAGATTATACTTAATAAGGTGGAGTCTGAAAAAAGTATTTTAGAAGCAGGTAACTTGCAAGGTCATATTTCACGTTTAAACCATAGACAAGGTATTAATACGGAGAAGCAGCAGCAAATGGCAGTCAAGATTACGTATGATAAAGAGTATCCTTTGTTAATGTTGTGTAAATGAACACATCTAGTTTCACAACTAGTTCTTTTTAGTCCACAGTATGATGAGATATAGCAATATAGTGACAATCAATTTCTAAGCGAGGAAAAAAGGTTGCAATGAATGAAATATTATATTATACGTATATTATGCTTACCAACACTTCATAGCTTACAACTAGCACTTTATCGTCACTGGACTGTTGAAGCGAGTTTACGACATTCATTGCCTACTGCAGTGGCGCTTCGATTATGGTCTCATAGAGGCGAGAAACGTTTGAGAGAACTGTTAGCAGAAATGGGTTTACCATTAGTTCAATCTCGGCAGCGGTTTGCCGCAATGGATCTTGATCTTAGACAAGGTTTTAGGCAAATGGTGGAAAAGTTGGCTGGTAAATACAATGTTGACAGTATCGTTGGAGCCAGTTTTACGTTGCAATATGGTTATAAGTTTAAATATTGCGCTTCTGATGTGGTATATGCAATGTTAGCTCTTCTTGAGTCATCGGTAAATCACAATGCATATGTTTTTAGTACTTTTAATTTCTGCACCTTAAAGGTGTATGGTTACTTATACTTATCTTGTGTGTTTTAGTCAAAAGAAAGATTGCCACAACATTGCTTTCTAGATTCACTGGATTGTCTTTCCCGAATGAAGAAGGATGTTTTGGAGATGGGTCTAGACAGAGCAAAATTAATGCTTACCAATATTTTCAAAACAGTACAGGGAATTTTAGAGATGAAACAAGTTATGAATGCTGGTCCATTCTTATACGTTGTTGTCCCAGATGGAACTTTGGATAGTCATCTATTTAGACATCCTCACTCATTACTTATGTTGGCTCAATTTATTTTGAAAGCATTTGTCAATTCATCCAAGAACAGGCGATTGCGAGGTTTGCCACTCGTTGCATCTGCTTCTTACGATATAGAAGAAGGCACTTGCCTCGCTATTGGAGTCCCTCCTGTTTGTGAAGAACAACCAAGAAGGTTAGTAAATGTAATATAGTAACATTAGTATTAAATAATATAATTATAGTGCCACAAAGTACTTGATTGTAAAACAGTCACAACATTGTGCATTTAGAATTAAGAAAAAATTGGAAAAGGTAGAAATATTATCAATTAGCTTTTTACTTTTTTAATTGTCTTTTATTAACATATAATTTAAAAAATATATGAAACTGCATTGTTTTGTCGATAAATTATATAAATTTTCTATAACTTTTTGGAGGCGCGAAAATTTTAGATACATAATTTTGTCTAACTCATTGAGAAGTCTCTTGTCTGATAATATTTCATTTGTTTAAGTCTGTTTGGTCGAGCGTTTGAAAGAGCTGCAAAGAACACAAACTCAACAATTGAACCTGACTACTTTGACACTACAAGTAAGAACTTATCCTATGCTATTTTTTAAGTGTAATAAATGTATCGCGGTATGTACGAACGTTAAATGAAATGCTAATGTTTTCAATGTTTTTGTGCAGTAATAAGACTGAAAACCCAAGAACGACCAAAATTTTTCGATGCCTTGGCAGCTCTTCTCATTCAATGACTGAGGGTAAGAAAGTGGATATGGTATGGTGAATAACAAATATAACAGGAAAAGAATTTTAACATTCAACTTTCCTTTTTAAATTATTAACTAGAAGATATTAATTACAAACGTAGATCACAAAACTGGTAACAATGTTGAGATTCATTGTCAAAGAATCGGATTTAATTTTGTTACATTTGACAAACGATCAATTTTAGGATAATTTTGTATATATTTGAATGTTGTATTTAAATTTTAGACCTGCGACGTCTTAGATTTAATTGTATTTTATATTTCATGCATTTAAATCATGTATAAATGTGGTTAATTTCTAATGTTGACACGATTCGTTTGAATCCGGGAAAATTACATGAACGGGTTATGTACATTTTTGCAAACTGAGGATATATCGAAGCAGAAATTACAAATGTATTGTTTAGTAGGTTTATGAAGGGAGTAGTGTCTGCGCTATTCACTGAACAGTAATGCATAATTGATCAACAAAGTTTTAGTAACAAAATGACTGTTTTGTAGTAGCGTCATTTTCGTATTATCTTCATCACAATGATATAATAAACGCCTACAGATGTTCATACTTTATGTATGACTGATTCTTAAATAATTGAATGGAAAAAACTGAAAACTTTCTAAAATAATATAACAGGCTTTACATTTAACAATGTTCAGTGATAATTGTAAATACTAATATCTAATTTTAATAGTGATAGCGAAGTCAGAACGTATGCGATTATAGGTTTATATTTGTCCGAGGTACGGTAATTGCGTTGTAAGGTGGTTAGAGAAATAGAAACGCTCGACAATAAATCCGTCTTACGAATGAACCTCCAACAGTTTTATTCGTCTGGTAATAACCAAATCTTGAGGATGTCCTTAAATACCTACACATCACATGTTAAATATTCATCTTTAAATATACAATTTATCCTCACTATATCATTCATGATCTATCGTGTATGTCTTTGGATTACTTTTACATGGCTATGAGATACTTTTTACATGATCTAAGCACGGTTTTGCTGACGAAGCTCTCCCCGAGTTCAAACTTCCTTCGGTCCTGAAATTGTAAATCACACGATCGTTGGGCAGATTGGATCGCTGGTTTGCAGATTCGGACGAATCAACAATTCTTGTATTAGGTTACGTGGTAGATTTGTGCACTGTTGTGATCTTGTTCATTGGAAGTTTATTATTTCGGAAGCCGTCGACGAACTGTTGAACGGAGTCTACGGTGATCTCAGCCCCATCTTCCATGACGGCATAGACTCCTCGTGGGATATCGATTGCTGTTAGAAGTGGCACCGCATCATCTAATCCTACGAACTCGCGCAATATATCTGATGTTTCACCCTGAAAAATAAGGTTCTCAAGAGTTGTATCCGATCGATGCAATGATATACACTCTATGTGTGGCAAAAATGATCCATATTTGGCTAATGAAAGTGTTCCGATCGTCCTAATTTTATGAGATCATTAAGCGTATAGGGTCCTAGAATAGTTGCGTCGATCCTCAAATCGCGGATATTGTCGTCATTGTTAATCAGAATAATTGTTGAAAGTTACGCGTATACGTCATCGTAAACGCGAAACAAAACGATAATGATATAAACGTTATTGTACCATCAGCCAGAGTTTCGTTAGTTTACCGACTTTGGAAATTGCGGATCAAAAGTCGAATCACCCGTTTGCGAGTGAAAAAGCGATACGAAACTGAAATATGTAATCTGGACCCTCGTAGTTAGGCGAAAGTGATAAATTACGGGTGCAATTACTAGCGTTAATCGTGGTAATTACCGTAGTTGAACTCGGTGCACTTCTGAATGCGCAAAAGGCAAGTGACGATAAAAGCAAACTAGGATCGTCCCGTTCCGGTGGCGCGGACTTGTTAAGATTTCGGAGCTCGGGATTCAACCGTGGGTTAAAACGCGAGCACTTACGTCTAATGCAATATAAAACTGGAGCATCCCATCCGGATCGTCGTAATTTGGGTCGTAGTCGGGTTGGTCTCGCCTGTAGACTTCAGCAGCTGGCAAAAGAACACCTTCGCCAAAGTAGATCTCGCAATCGTCGCCCTCTGCAAGCCACACATATGCAGGTGAGCGCGAAAGGAAAATGTTAAAAGACAGTCGGCTATACCGCTTTTCTTTTATTACACTTTTTTTGTCACTGTTAGAATGAAATTGAAGTAAAAAATATATTTTAAGTGGAAGTATCAGGGCGGTACTTTAAATGGTTGTTCAGTCTTTCAAGGAAAATACAGACACACGGCATTGAAGACAATGCACAAGAATTACTTTAAGTAAGTTACACCACTTCTGCATTGATACAACCAAAGAAAGATCAAAAAGTATAATTTGGCATTAATCGTAACGCTTACTGCACGGCTAGAATTTATACAATTGAAAGATAAGCTTTGTAGGTAGAAAAAGAACGATCGGTATTGAACGCGCTTTGAGCTGTGTAGCGGTGCAATCCGATTCATTCAATTAGACTTGTACTTGCTTTTGAGACCCACAAGATCAGTGGCTGCCCCATTTACACGTCTGGTGTTTCATTAACCCTTTAACAACGGCGGATTCGGACGTAGAGATGTACCACCTGTGCGGATAGCTAATACTTAATATGAATACGATATTCAATTGTCGCTTTGAATACATGGGAATGAAGGGGGCCACTATAGTGGCGCTTCGTAATTAAACGGTTAAAGATGCACTGCTTTTGTTTTCGACAATAATTGTAATTTATTTAAATTTGTATAGAAATTATTTCTTTTAAGCACGTCCGATCTTGATCGAAGCACCCTACATGCATTAACGTAATTAACAATAAGAGTTGTTTTGGGTTGTATAATAAAAACAGCAAAAATCAGAATTTGGCGATATGGCATAGGCCGATACTAAAGGGTTATGTAATACATAGACGAGACGAGGCATGAGTTATCACTTAGAGAGATCACCTGCACTGGAGAACGGTTAACGACCAAGTGGGTCTCAAGTCTGTTCATTATTCAATTGGAAGCAAGCTCCGGCGAAACGGCAATGGCTAATTATGCGTAGCGTTTGACTCACCCACGAAGAGAATAATGGCCGGAGCATCGTGAAGCGATGTAGCGTACTTCTCTGTCAGAATATTCACCAGTTGATTCGTCCACGGAAAATTCTACAACAAATAAAATTCCACGGGTTCAATGTCAATAAGGGACTTGTAAATGGATGACTTCGGAATCTCAAACACCTTACCAATCCCTCGGGATCCTCCAGAAGCTCCGCTCGACCTTCGAGAGTGATAATGTTATCCTTAGGATCGAGAATGACCAGTGTCGGTATAGCTTGCACGTCGAGAGCTCGAGCCAATCTCTGCCGCCTTTCTTCTTGTGCGAAAGGTATCCTTAACCAAGGCATGCTTTCCGTGTAAATATTGTACGACTCCTCGCTCCTGAAACCAACAGGATGGGTAGATGTTAGTTCAATGGATGAAACTCCAATTCTGGAGAATAAACGGAAATTCCATCAAATACTTAGGGGATTAAGTAACTCATTAAATTATCGACAGTATCACTGTGATATTTTATTTATTTATTGAGAGTGGTAATTAAGGTGGTACTTAAGTTTCGTCTGTGGGTACTACAGGGAATATTGTCTGAAACTTTGATAAGATTGGTACAAGAATGGTGTCTTACAATTTATTCAGCAACCGCACAAGTTGTGCAAATACGTTCAATTGATGTTATTGTTTGTTAACGTCCGAGCCTTTTTTGTAGTGACAATTTTAATTGTATCACGGATAGTGCCTTTTACTTGCGCTCACGGGGTTTGTGTCTCTCGGTGAAATATATTCTTTTCTTTCTCCGAGTTGAGGTAAATGTGCCCAGTCGGTAATTATAAAGCTTTCTTGTAATTCGAAGGCAGAGGCTTTCGACTGGAAGCACTAAAAGAAATGCTCGTAGAAGCGACGACTTTCCGTGTCGTGGCCATTCTCAGACGATGTCTTCAGATTTCCCCAGGTTCCAGAGAACAAAAAAACAGGAAAGTGGACACGGAAAGAAGGTTTGACAATGCAGAGTAATTTTCCGGGAAACTTGAATTAATGCTTGTGAATGTCGATTGATAATTCTCGAGATCACGAGAAAAGGACTATTTACAATAATTTGTGTGAGAATCACATATATACGGGTAAGATGTCCATTCAGAACATTTCTTTAAACACAAACATTGGAGGAATAGATAATGATTTATCATCAGTAATAACGATAGAACGAATATTTAATATCTTGTTTATATCGACAATTTTTCTCAATGCATAGTAAAGGATATAGGAAAATTTAATTTATTGTAATTTGGTGAGCAATCAGAAGTTATGTTAATATGAAATTGTGAATTCGAAGGATGGAGGTCCATCGGTTACAGATATTATCAACTCGAGAATAACATATAATTGTGCTAAACATTGAAAAAGTGTTCAATATTAAAAGATATTGATTTCGAGAGAAGCAAACATGAGGCAGGTACCACACATTGAGTTTATTGGATAATCGTGCAGCGGTATAATTGATTACTTTCTGACAATTTTACGTCCCGATCGAATAATTTTTTCGGTTATAAATGATGTTTAGAAAACTAGTCGGTACTTATTTACGAATTCCTTGTGTAATCAGAAATTAGAGAGGCACTTTTTTCATTCTAGTTTTCTCCAGGATTTCTTTAGCACAGCGGCTAAAGTTAGAAAATTTGAGGAAAGTTGAACGATGCATTGTAATTCTGAGATAAATCGAAGTCATATTCAGAGGGGGTTATCGGTTTGGAGTGCGAAGGATCGGCCGGAAGTCATTTACCGAAGGAGGTGGATAACGAGGGGCCTGTTCAAGCGCGAAATCGAAAAGGGCTGAAAGCCTTTGTCTCAGGAGGACCAAAGCAGGAGAACCAAGTGCGTGTAAGAGTAGAGTCGATGCTGGATCTGCCCTTTTTGCCGGCAGTAATAGACTTCCAGAAAAACGAAAAGATGCACCTATGTGCAGGAGCGCATTCAGACGTAACTAATGTCTTACAACTTGTTAGTCTATGAAAAATCCCGGAAAGCACATCTACCGTAGAGACGCCGAAAAACTGTCGTTTTCAAGCCCTCTTTTTGGGTACGACGAAGAGATATCTAAAAGATGTCTAACATTACATTTTGCTAAATATACCAGACTAAAATATATCTCTGTATGGGTACCTAATAGAGGAAGTGAAGAGCTGTCTTTACTATGTTAGAAAGTCCATATCAAGGTGTAATCGTTCCGCCCAGGAGAAGAGTGAAGAAGAAGAGATTACTGAAAACTACACTCTGAAGTCGACGAAAAAACATCGAATATAACCTGGGGAAAAGATATCTGCATTTAGTCATCTTTTAATCTTGACAAAAAGATGATGAATCGTCATTTTTTAGCCTTGACCAAAAGTTGCCAAAATCCGGTGTATAAGATTCGTCTTCGTTTTACCAACTATAGGTTATTACCAAACGATGACTTTTCAGAAAATTTGTCATCTTTTAGACATCTTTTAGTCGTCGTTGTGCTGTCTGGGATTGAACTCCTTTTGATTATTATTACGAAGAATATTGTAAAAGTGCAGGAAATATTGTAGCATAATTATTTAATTTTTCCAGGGCTGCTCAGAGTATTATTTTCTATGGTGTATTATTTCCTACACTGATAACCTAAACCTTACGTAAAACGGAATATATATTTTTATGGATGTTCGGTATAAGATCAAAGAATTTACTTCATCAGAACGTGGAAAATTATTAATAATTGTCAATTTTGAAAATTTCGTTTTACTTCCAGAAAATAGAGAGGTTTAGCGATGGGTTTAAATGAGTTGGAGACAACTTATACTACTGTAAAAAATATGAATCTGGAGGTCCTTATCAGGTCCTGGTATACTGTATCTTGGTATACGTGTTATCACAGATAATGCCCACACGTGCAGGACGGAGCATGTATGCCTAGAGTCAGAAATTATGTTCGCAGTCACGGTTGTTCTATCGAGATGAGCAGCGTCAGCTAGGGGCATATACACCCTCCGGCTTCGAGTCCCTTTTCCAAGAGTTTGATGCCCTAGACGATAGTCCATTGATTTTCTACAAAAGTTTATGAAAGCCTCCAGAAGAAAGTAACGAGCTTCCCTTTTTTTAGGGGCGTAACCCCGAGTATCGCGGAAGCTTACGAATGCTCCTCTTTAACCGTGAGGATTTTTCAAACTTTCCCCCAAGCGAAAACAACGGAGCAAAATTTGAATATTATTCCTGTGGAGAAAGCCACAAATTCATATAGTCGGTGCGGTTGGTATCGCTTGAAAAAGAAAGAGGAATTCCACCAGTTATAGGTATACAAAAATGCTTCGGAGCGTTATGCTTTATCTGATTATTTAATGCAGACTCTCATTATAAGCGAAATGTAAAAACAACAGAAATATACATTTTTAATTGGATGTAAACGTAAAGAAGAAAGTAACCGTTTTTTTTATTATCGTGCGAGAGCGAACTCGTTGATAATTTTGGTTGAACCATTTTGTGTAAAAAATGTGGCTCAACACGTGGCACAGGTTGATAAAAATTGGAAAACAAAGCGAATGGCAAACATTTTGATGCACCGTCAAAAGCATATTTTAAGTGTTTTGTCTGCACGAAATGTTGCAGGATTGAAATATCAGTGTCAACGAAATTTGATTGTTTTTTAAGTATTTCATTTCACAAGAGTGCAATGGCAGATAAATTTGAAAGGAGGAACTTCACTTCATTTTTGTATTTCTTTTTCGCGTCATGGTTTTTAATAAAGTATTAATTGACACTTGACTAACTGTATGAAACATAGCAATATTCCTCACTACTTATTTATTTGCAAGTATTTTAGGTTGCATTTTGCTGAAATCAAAGGTAGAAGTCACTTGTTCCCTGTTTGTACAGTCCGATATATTTGACCCTTCCGTTTCGGGTACTAGGATTGCAACATATTACAAAACTAACGCTATTTGTTAAATCGTATAATAATATATTGCTCGTGATAAGAGAAGATGATTTCCGTTAATGATTTGAGTAAACAGTAATTTATGTAATACATGGTATGGCTAAAAATCTAAAAGTAGAGCAAGTAAGAAATTAATTCTTTTCGTGCAAGGGTTGATTTTCAGATTGTGTCGTTTTTCTGCCAACGGTGAGAACTGCGTTGGAACACGCATATCGTTTTTATGGGGACTTGTAAAAGTTGGCACGTTGTCACGTGGTTGTCGTTTGGATCTCGATAATCACCGACTGTCACCTACGTGCGTTTCGATAAGTATTTGGGGTGGTTCGTATTCTTATCGCTCGTGACAACAAACGTGACTGTGCTACGTTCGCACCCTACGCGTGCTTTGCCCTCGTAAATTCTCAAAGGCGTCCGCGAGGGTTGATAAGTATGTACAAGGGTGGTTGATACCCTCTTTCCGGTATGTACTCGATCCGAAGAAGTGTTAAAGGTAGCAGACCGCAATGCTTACATGTGCGATATTAACAAAATAAATTTATAATAACAAAGAATTGAATAATAACAAAGTAAGTTCTCAAAGGCGCCCGCGAGGGTTGATAAGTATGTACAAGGGTGGTTGATACCCTCTGTCCGGTATGTACTCGATCCGAAGAAGTGCTAAAGGTTGCAGACCGCAATGCGTACATGTGCGATAATAACAAAATCGTTGTGACTCCTCTGTCACTGAACTCCTGAAATGTAGAAATTAGTGTTCTCTATCGTACACTTTCATCGGCATGCTGTATACATTTCCAATGACGCGAAATTGAATGTTAAGATGTGGAGGCATTCGGCGAAAGCCAAAGTTTTTCAAGTCTGAAAATTCTTGCGCGTATGTCTGAGGTATACGGTGCATTTTAGGATATGATGCTAGTCTGGAAAAATTTTCTTTTCTAATGCAGTTAAGCATTGCGTTCGTTGACGTCTTCGCGAACCTTTTAGCTCTTTTCGTTGTTTTTATATGTTTTTGTCTGATTCTTTGTTATGAGTAGGTATTTGTTATCGTCCAGTAATTATTCAGTTCCTTCTGCCATCTAAGCCCTCTCAAAAATATTTTATGCTTAGCAATATTTATTTGAATCGTGGATAATGATTTTATTTATAACAATGCATATATGATACCGTTGAACTAAAATAAAATATGTAACTTAGCCTCTTATATCTTTCTGATACCCTGAAAATCACTTAACATTTACTGATTAAAAAAGCAGCGGGGGCAGAAATTTGAAATTTTTTCAAAGCCATGTATGAATTACAAGTCATGTGTTAGTTGCAATGAAGATGAAAATTTGGACGGTCAATCAAGACATTAAAGCGACGATAGCTTCCGAAAGTTTTACCCCCTTTGAGAGGGTGAAGAATAGTAGCACGTTCAAAAGTTGACTGGAACGTCGCCAAGGATGCCGCAGGTGAGAAACTAATGTAAAATGCGCCTCGAGAACAGTTTCCGGAAGAGTATCACTTGAACTACATTACAAAACTTAAAAGTCGCCTTTTTCAGCTCGTATCACTCAAAAAGTAGGTACGTTCTTCGAAACTTGCCATTTCTGTACCCGAAACGAATTTCTTTTTCACCCTTTCAGACCAACTGATCGAAAACGGTGACAGATATATCTGTCATTTACAATATTCCAGCGAATACTCATACATCAAGAACAGCAGCTCTCTCAGTTTTTCAAAATTAAATCTATCTAATTTATCCTATACTATGCAACTATCCTGACTTTAGGGTGATGTAAAAGTGGCGTCAATGAGGTCCCGTTTATAAAACTTTTTTCAAAACGGAGGGGGGGGGGGGTACCGAATCGTTTCAGACGTTACAAGGTGAATACAGAGGATATAAGAAAATTCCTGACACTCATGAAATTTCAGTTTTTGTTTAAACTTGTTTATAGGTAGTTTAAAATTTGTAATAAAAATGAAATCTCATGAGTATCAGGACCTTCTTTATAGCCTCCATAATTACGTTGTAAAGTTTGAAACGATTCGGTACCGTCACTTTGGAGAAAAATTTCATGAACGATTGACCCCTCGGATGCCACTTTTCACATCCCCTTAAAGGGTTATATGCAGTTGTCATAGGCGAAATTCAAGAATTGTTTTTCATAACTAAAATGCATTTTTTAATAAAAAACAGCGTGACTTCATAGTACAATTATTGAACTTAATATATAATTTTCTTTTGTTAAGATTGCGACGTGGCTTTCGTCACAATAAAGGGCGCTTAGTTTCGATTTTTTTGTTTGATATAAAATTCTTTATTATTGTACACACTTTTACACTCGTTGGGCGCCAGCCGCACGTCGGCGGCCCTAAATCCTAATCTCTGGAACCGAATTTGCGCGTGAGCTTTGCGGGTTCTCGGCCGTAACGCGGCTACTTATCATATGCCGCGACCGCCACTCGCGAACGCCCTCGCGTGCCTCGCTACGCGTTATTTCCCCCAAGACTCCCTAGCGAATTGTACAATTATTTTATTATCCCAAAGATTTCACGGACGTCTCCCGATTATCGTGGAATCTTCCCCTATGAATTTCGCGGATCTTCCCCTATGACTTTCGCGAATCTTCCCCTATTACTTTCGTGGATCTTCCCCTAAGACTCACTTGGGCGGGGGGCGACGTTCGGTGATTGTTTTCTGAAGTTTCGGCCTTTTAGGACTTGTCGGTCTCCTTTCTTTGTCTTCACTTGGCGGTGTGACACTTCCCTCGAGTACAGCAATCCTCGGAATGATCGCAGGTCCTGGCACGCACGCGGTGCCGGGTCCTTTTTCGGCAGTATCCGGGGCGCGGATTGGCCGGGCGGCCTCGCGAGCGGAGCTTTGATTGGTTCCGGCTCGGCGACGCCGCACGGCCGACCAATACTCCCGCGGTCCCGGAGCAGCGCGGCGACGGCGGCCTGTGCCTCGCCGCGCGCAACAGGATCGTATGGCGGCCCAAAATCCTAACGGTACTTTGAGTCGCATGGGCGAACCCCAAGGCGTGCAGCTTCTTAAGGCCGTAGCATTATTCTTCCGAACATCCTCTCGGCCCGAATCTCCCGGAGTCGATTCCAATCCCATACAAAACCCTTATTTTCTCTAATATGCCGTATTATTTTCCACAATTATCTCTTACGATGTCCCCTAATTAACGTTCGGGCGTTCGCTAGTGACGCTCGCGCGCAACTTATTTGCGCTAACGGTATGTAGGGGGGGTCGGCAGCTACCCCTTCCTCCTCGAGGACGCGATTTCCCTTTAATGTGGGGGAGCTACCGATCCACCACATTACAAGATATGTTAAAAAATCGGCGAGGTACAGCAATTTTCCGAAGTTTTTTCTTGCGGTGAGCACGATATCTCAAAAAATATTTCACCTTCAAATTTTTAGGACTCATTCTACACATGGACTGCTGAATGAACGAAGGATTTTTTGAAATTCTGATTTTTACCAAAATGGCAGTTTTACTGAAAAATCATTTTTTTCGTCTTATAACATTTTCACTTTTCCTTAATAAAACAGCAAGTTTTCATACAAAAAAAGAATCGTTAGTTCGTTCAGTAGTCCTCTATGTGTAGAATGAGCCCTACAAATTTGAAGCCGATCGGTGAAATACTTTTTGAGACAGCATGGTCACCGCAAAAAAAAATTATATATTAACTTCAATAATTGTACTATGAAATCGCGTTCTGTTTCGATCAGAAAATACATTTTAGTTATTACAAAAATTCTTGAGTTTCGCCTATGATAACTGCATATAACCCCTTAACACTAATTGTAACAAGTCGATACCTGATCTAACCGTGGACATCCATCCATAATTTGTACACGTTTAAAGTTATAACAAAGCGAATATCGGATATCGAGGACTGAAAGGATTAAACTGTAAAAATCGACAGGCATCAACGCGCAAAAAAAAGTCGATTATGCAAACTCCTCAGAAGAAACGTTGTCATCGCTCTTGACTCTTTAAAGTCTCCGCGATATCCGGCTCGATAACGAGCCCCGGATATGGGGATCGGCGGAAGAAGCGGCCCGACAAGAATGAGCGTTCTCGCATACTCGACCCTACGACTACTCGACCACTCGACATCGCCGTGACAAGAAGGAATCGATAATTATCCGGCGTTACGGAGCATCGACTCGACGCGGCGCATCCGCTCCCGGGATCACGTCGCGAGGAGCTTTTTTCTTCTCACCGAAAGAGCCTTCTTTCCTGTAAGAAAATAGGACGAACGCTCGCCGAGGATGCACGCTCGATGGTCGGGCAGGAGGGACGGTGGCGGGGGTAATTCAATCGAGGCGAATTTAAAATGCGAAGTATCCGGCGAGAGCGAGCGGGATCGTCAGGGGGCGCGAAGGGGCCCAAGATGAGAAACTGAAAGGACTGCGACGAAGGGGAAGGGCGAGACATCGAGTTTTCCTTTTGTTGTTCATTTCGAGAGACCTTTCCTCCCCTGGGCCGCCTCCAGGGCGACTGAATGGTCTCGGTCGAGGCTGTTTAAAATGCACCTGTCTCCGCGTGCCTAAGCAAGTGCACGCGTGCACATTTGCATCGACCGGGAAGAGCGTTCCCCCGGTTCTTTGTTCACGACGAGTTATTTACTGCTCCGAGTGGGACTACGAGTCACGGGCCCTGACTGCGTTTGACAGAACCAAATGGTTAGGTGGTCGCGCCTTCTGAACGTCCTCTCGCCTGCGACCGTTAGTCATTGTTTATGGCACTTTCTGATTTTATAATTTTTTAAGGACAACTGACGTCGCCTGTCGATATCACGGACGCCGTTGGGGAAACCCAACCAGCGAGAACGTCATGCCGCGCCCCGGAACTTCCGTAATGGACGTGCTATTACTTCCCCCGGGAAAGGGCGTCTTCGTAGAGGATGTAAAATTTGACATTTTTGTGCGGTAATAGTACTATTTTAGTATATTGTAAGAAATAATGAGGCAGCTTAATTGTTGATAACTACGCGAACAGAATTTTATCTTTGTTAGGTGAAAGGCGGTGAAAGGACATTGCGAATCATCGTTAATGCGCAAGGACATTTATTGTAAGGGGCTCTTAATTTTTGTACGGCTATTTTGGTGTGAAGGATACGTGTATAAGAAATGGAAAGTACTAATCTTTCGGTATGTTGGTCTTGGACAGATTAATGTTATCATGAAACACCCTGAACACTAGCACGTGAGCTGCATTTCAAAATCCCAAGACTTAGTGTAAGGGATGGCTCGAGTGATCCTGTCCTTTGAAAGATGCAACGTGAGCCGAGTGTCAATGTAAATCCCTAGATTTTTCCAGAAAGTTATAAGAATCTTAGTGACGTTCTAATGCCATTTATTTTAATTTCTTTCCTTTACATGTTTACGAGTCACATTGGAATTTCGTTAATATTTCCCAAGGAACAAATTAAAAATGTTTTGCTAGTAAGTTAATCTCAATAACCCATCATCTTTCAAAATGCCATAAGCTATCTTATTGTAACGTTGTTTAATTTTCGTACCCTGTGTACATCCGCATTTACGTTACAGAAACTCGATTAATTACGATTGCAATTATTACTTACCGGTCGGAACTGACGAAGATCACTTCGAAATTGTGTCCTCTCTCTCGAATTCGTTGGTACGTGTCTATGAGCTGTGGCGTGAACATTTTACAGGGAGGACACTGGAAAGCAAAGAAACAAATTAATTGAAAGGAAAAAAAACGTAATTAATCAATAATACAGGCATCTCTCCGCGCGATAGGCATATTTATATCATTTCTGCCGTGTCAATTCTTAGCCATGAAGAGTTCACCCGAGTATTCCATTTATATTGCGCATTTTTGAACGTATATACACCTTGTACACTTTTCTGCTCTTTTATTTGTATAAATACGAATGTAACTTAATATCCAGGAGGTTCGTTCAAAATTCCGTGAATGCGACTAGAAAACGAACTCAAACGATTCAATATACACGGGGTGGTTGAAGTGCGGCAAAACCAGGCAAATATCCGAAGCATTGTTCGCATGGCGGATGAACTCAACGAGACTGCGATATGCATCCATGGAAGGAGATCGAGAGAGGAACATGAGCTATGCATCCTGCGAATGTAATATCTACCTTCAAATATCTTTCGATCGCACATTTTTTCACGAGTCCGTCGATCGCGATTGTTTCATTTCGATGAAATTCCGCTCTCAGAAGATACGCCCCGTTGGATTAAAATATATATGGCTACCTAACGAAGATTGGAATATGTTCATAAAATCCGGACTTGGTTGGAGTTACGTGCCTGGCAATCTCTCGGAGGGCTCGATGAAAACTCCGTTTAGGGATGTAGCCATTCGCGAGTACCGATAAATTGCAGTTACATTGTTCATCCCGGCTTAACTACGAGACTGGGGTTCAAAATATCGAGGGTCATTTTGCCGCACGCAATATTCCCTCCCTCGGCTGGGATCTCGATAGAACGCACAATTCAGAACCCGAGAGGGTGCGTTCGGAGGGATTCGGGAATCCTAACGGAGCTGTAGATCACTCCAAGTAGACCCTAGGGCACGACATCTAGCCGAAATATTGCTTCCCGTCAGATATAATTTACGAGTTTTGTGTAGTTTTTGCGCTTTTTTTTCATTTCCTTTTTGATAATATATTGCGTGCCTCCTCTTTTTTCATCCAAACTAAGGGCCATTCAGCGGGAGTTCGGCCCGGCCATTATCTCTAAGCGATCACTTTGCGGAATCTATGGCCGGGGTTCGCATTTAATGAGAAATTCTTCAGATGGATCAAGACGTTGCAGCAGTTAGGAAAGTGCGTTTCCGGAACAATTTTCGGAAATGTTATTCTTAATTGACGATTCGTTATTAGCATTACTTGGCCAGCAAAAAAGTACTATTTGTATTAAATATTTTTCTTCAGGCTTCAATGCAAGCTCAAATATAGGTATGAAGATTCATAATTATTCTACTAATTGTGCAGAGTAGAAAGCCGAATTTATAATTAAACCAGAAAATACAATGGGATCCACTATATTATAGGTAAAATTCAGTTAATTTTTCAGTATATTTCACACGAAACATTGTAAAGCTGTATGACGATTTGTACGAAGCTACAAGAACTATATACTGATACTGTATAATGATCTGTTCAAGAATAGAAGTCCCTTGCAAGTTTCTAAAACTTAAAGAAGAACTAGAGACTTTCTGTAGAGATGTTTTCATTCCGATGTCGTATTTAAATAAATTGAATGTGCTTTCAGCACGCTCGGCGTGTTAAATATTTCATTGGTCCCATGGTATATTCATATCTGCGTCCCATCGTCTTCGCGTCTGTTCCCAAATCTATTTTTTCTCTCTTTCTTTCTCCCATCTGGTATCGTTCTCTTTCTTCTTTCCACTCAACCTCGCTTTGTCTGATTCTTGCTACCTTCCGTATCCCTGCAGCCACCGTGGAAGCCGTTGTTGTTCCCGGGAGCTAGATTGCTTATGCAAACTAACCCCTCTTTCTCATCGTTTCCATCCCCTGGTTCATCACGAACGGACCGACGACCCCTCTCAGACGAGATATTATAGCCTCGGCTGTTCAGACGCATTGTGTTAACCCGTCATCGAAACTCCGTTAAAATTATTCTTTTTCCTCTAATTGGAGTTGCCTCGTATGCGTTATCATCAGATCAGAGAATTTGGCCGATAATGCATTTTCGCCACATTAAGATCCCTGTTATTATCAGGTTCTCGATAAAACCACAAAATGAATAAATTGCACTTGCCATTGATTTTTTCTCCAATTTAAAGTGTTCCCTATGAACTTTTGAGAGAAGGTCGTACTTGCACCTCACTTTTAGTGTTAAACCTTTTATCCGTAATCCATTTAAAGACTACAGATAAAAGACGTCTTTTGACACAACAAATAAGATCTGACTACAGACGAGATATATTTTATTTTGTCATTTTCCTGTCTTTGACAAATGTTATTTTTCAAAGTCTCAGTCCCCTATCTTCCCTGCGCCTTCAATCGTATTTTATTTTTCCCATTTAATTAAGTTAGGCTTCCGTGTAACTTTCATCAACCCTCTTTTCCAGGAATTATTCAGCAACGTTGAAGCCGTAGCCACGCTCGAGGTCGAGTAACCCTGTAGCGCATACGTATGGTTATCCGTAATTGAGGGCACGTGTTCATACCGTGCAGAATATTGATTCCATTGTTAATCCTCTACGGCGGATATGTTATTGCTTTAAGAAACTCACGCGATAATATTTACGTCAATTAAGAACATTTCTATGCAAAGAAACCTTCATCAAGGACAGATGCAAAATCACAAATTAGAATTGCAAAAAAAATGTACCCTGCTTCATAGTATACATCGACAAAAGGGTCTTCTTGGACCAAATCAATGTTACCCGCCTGCAAAGAAAACGTAACGTCGTTCTGCTTAAGAATTATATTCCCTCGAGTGCTTAACCAATTTCATTATGTATGAGGATTGGCAAAACGAGAAACCGTAAGCTGCGGGCAGAGACAATAACAGGTCTTACCCAGTGTGCGCTGAAGTAAACTCCTTTGACGCAGTGTCGTAGCTCCTCGTGCAGCATGGGTTCGTTGCTGCCTCGAGCTCCACAGGGTAGAAGTGGACCATCCTCAAGGGTGGCTTTAGGATGCGGCGGCCTCCAAGGGAAGTTCGCCCCCGTGGGGTCCGCCAGGGCTCGTTCCACACCCCCCCTGGTTACCACGGAGCCGGTGTTACCCTCCAGTAGAATCAGGGTTGGCACCCCAGCCTTTATTCGGTACCTCCTCGTCAGTCTGGTCTGTAAGAACGAGCCACGATGCAGACCATCGACCAAGATTGGTCATCGCTCCCAGTCATGCCATCGAATCTTTGGGATTCCTTCTTGATGGGAACTCATTTTCCAAATTCGTTTCGTAGAATGATGGAATTTCCGAACACGTGGGATGGGATAAAAGATGTGGCGCACGAAGTTCGGTGACGTTGACCATTTTTGGAATGGCAAAGGAAGATAAACGTGGTAATAGCGGAGTTATAAGTGACGCATTTAAAGTGGATTGATTATTTAAGGAATAGTATGACCGTGAGTGCCTTTCAGTGGAACCTGTGACGTTTCTTGAGTAATAGAATTTAGTCTACTTATTATCGATGCGATCATTTTACATAATATGTCAGATAACTAATCTTTAGTGTTTAATTCAGCGCCAAACTCAAATTATGTTTCCCTACATCAAGTTTCTTGGCGTAACATTAACGGCAACTATCGATCTTCCACGCTACAAGGTCGAACATATCGAGGCTTGTCTCAAACAGCGAGTTGAAATTTAATTATAATTTCCAAAGCAATATCGTTTGGAATTGTTAATGAGGAGCAAAGTTTTCACACAAAGGAACAGAAGAAGCGAGAGCGATCTCGAGTAATTTCCTTGTGTCCGAAGATCGAGGCTTACTATTAACAACCCTTAGAGACTACCCCAAGAGAAAGAGTTATCAACCAAATTCTTTCGATATCTAAATACATATCGGAAGGTATCGATAAGTACGAAATCGATCATTCACGCCCCATCTGCCACGCTCAAAGAGTATATTCGGATTTTAAAAGTTAAAAGTTGTATTGAATTAACGTTGAGTCGATTTTAAACGTAATTAGTACGATGTAAGAGCTGAGATAGCTCTTACGTCGTGCGTTTAGCGGCGTCGAAGCTCCCAGTGGCGAGCGAAGCTTTTTCTTGCCTTAAAAGTAACGATGCAGGCTTATGATCTTGAGTAATCTCCCTAGCATCCCGTTTCGCCTCTGCGGGGTCCGCCTTGCCTACAGGACCTCTTTCAGCCGTGGATGTAAAGCAAATTACTACAAAGTCAGCGCGCTATGGCATCGCATAAAAGCTCACCGTAGGTAAGTACAAAGGCGGCTTCCGTTTGCCGCGGCTCGCGGAGCTTACCGGTTAACCTAAACAGAGCTTTCCGTGTGCCGTGAAATCCGCCCCCTAGGGGCTCCCTCTTCACCTCGGCGGGAATCAAAGAAGGATTAGCGAGGAAAAAGCTAATGACGTCATCAGCGAAAGCTCGGAAAGCGCCGAGCATACTCTCCGATCGAGCGTCCCCGTGAAAATATCGCGCGAAAGGAGAGTACTCAAAAATGCAGGTCCTATGACTGCGTGGGCAAAGCCTCGAAAAGTTTAACATCAATTTTTGTTGTTTTTAATCAGCCCCCCCACGGCGTATCGAGCCGACGTTGTCGCGTTTTCAAAGACCTGAAATGTACATTGGAATCCAATAGTGTCTTTCCGGATGGGTGAAAAAGCTCGACTGAAAGGCTCGGTTATCATCCTCGAGTTTTCTATCTCTGTAATGAGTTCTTTGCTTTGCCGACCCGTTATTTACGAGTGCGCCGGAATCGTACAATTTGCGGAATTACGTAGGAACGTTGACAATTTTCTTTTTACTTACAACGGCATTATAAAGTTCTTTCAATTGGAAAAAGGGGAGAAACGGAATGCGCAGCTCCATAGTCATCGAGGAACTTGATTTTCTTTTCATCGGTGAATTATCGGAATGCTCCATCCTCTTGTTTAATCGGGGGAGCCAATAGTAGAGAGGTTACTCCATAGCATTCGAATTGGAAACAATTGATGCGAAATTTATCGAATCTACTTGTCAAATTCGCTCGTGACAACAATTCCGTGAAGCATCCTATATACCCTACTCTTCCAAGGCGCGGTGTCAAAGGCACTGACAAAATGCGAGTCGGCATCGGAAGGGGTGCTTGTGCTGCGAAAGCACAATATCGATACGGGCGGATATCTCATCGCGACGGAACGATATTAAAAATCACTCTTTCGAGTGCGACGAGTGTACGATCGCTCGTTTCGAGTGGTCTCCTCGAGTGCTCCTTCTGTCTGTTTGCAGCGCCAAGGGGTTGCTACGCGTAAGCCAAGGGAAACGTGGCGAGGGGTGTGTTCTCATATGAGCAGACCTACGTGAACTCGCCACACGTCTTTATGGATGTCTGCAAAAATGTTTTATCTTCCCGATTTCCGAATATCGAAGTCACGGCATTCTCTGAACCTTATTACAGGGTCCGACGAACATCGAACCACACCCTAGCTGCTATCAAAAATGGATGAGAGAGTTTATCACACCTCTCTCTTTCACCTCAGGCTATCTCCGCTGGGTAAGAATAGACAAGTCTCGAGATCCTTGAAGTTTTTGGATCTGGTGGTATTCTTTCGAAAATCACCCCAAGCGAACGATTATAATAAATGTCAGAGTTCGATTTATCGACTCCAGCATCGAAACTGCCCGCAAGACATCGAGATTGGCTTCATCCCATCGGATCTTTCTCATTCTATTTCATGATTACGTCATGTTACGCGGTAATAGTCGGTATGTCGGTGCCACGCGGTAAAGTATCGCGTTAATAAACCGTTCCACATTGCGTTACAACAAATTCCATATTCGTGTTACATAAAAATATTCTGTGCTTAAATCCTGCCCAACGATAAATAATGATATACCAGACCCATATCTGGGATGAAATTTCTCATCTCCATTTCGTCTTTTTAGACGCGTACCCACAATGGCTCCCACTAGATACTTGAGATGCGCCCCAAAATAGAAAGTAGAAACACTTTTGGAAAGATGTGTATACACGCTTGTCTCGCGCGTTAAGTGGAGGGTCTTCGCGCTCGCGAGATCCTCTCTAGGGTCCTCGGGATCCAGTCTCCTCGTCATCCTCCTCCAGGCTCTCTTTCGTCTTCAACTTCCCAGCAAACGAACGAATGCGAAAGCGTATGCGTGCCTACGCTCGTATTGGCGTCCTCGGGGCTCCGCATGGACGTCGACACCCTCTGGTGGCATTGTGGCCAAGCAGGGGTGGTTGCCATCTCGCGGCTGAGGCCGCCACGGGGATGACGGGCGTGACGAGTGTATCCCCCGAACGTTGCACTCGCGGCTGTCTGCGATCACCACCCGTCTGCGCCCACCCATCCTGGCCCCTGCTGCAACTTCCCGCGGAAAAGTAATTTCGAAAATGCCTTCTGTCGATGAACGATTCCTGGGGCCGGAAAAAGCGCAGTTTACCAGGGTGGTCTCCGGAGGACCGAAAACCCAAACTCGTTGTTTCGGTCGATGCACTCGGCCGGATTAACGATAATTCGCTTGACTTCCGCGCTTTTTAACTACCCTCCCGGACGAGTTTCGATGACCTCCCTCGGAACGCGAATCGACATCCGGGGATATTTTTACATGGTGAGGGATGATTCATCAAATGGAGCGATTTGGAAGATTGCCAAAGGAACTGTCGCTGGGAGAAGAATCTTGCAAGAAATGAAAACTGGGGGAGTAAACGTGTTTGGCACGCGTCGCTATTTATCTACCGCCATTGAATAGGGAAAATACCTGTTAGAGCTAATGGGAATTTACCTGCTGGTTTGTAATTAGGGGTTGAAGTAGTCTGCATTTTTCATTTACAGCGATTCCTGATAGTTAATTGTTCCGTATACTCCTGTTTTTATAGTGTTGCATCTCGAAAAAGTAATTTTGAAATGCTCTCTACTGATGAACGAGCATTCGGGAGAGGGTAGAGTGCACAATTTTGGCAGGGTTGGCCCAGGATGGGGTGGATATGAGAGCCTGTTGTTTCAGTTGAATTACTCGAGGGGGCTGCGAGAATTTGTTGGATTTGAAGATTTCGAGTAGCTTCAAAGGCTACGCCTTTATGGCTGAGCGGGTTAAGTAAAAATATTGTCTATTTTGCCACAACTATTTTAAGGTAACAACAGTTAGCTTACTAGAAAACAGTGCTTTAAATAGTCATAAATGGGTAGTTAAGTAATTATGTATTTATTTTCTGTCTGTAATGACGCATTGAGAACAACGCTATCGTTTTCATTTATCCGTTTTACTCATATTCTACCGTTGTTTCTAAAAATTGTAATTTTCAAATTCTGCCGAGTAATATGTAAACATTACTCAAGGGTCACTTAGAATTGTGCTTGGCAAGTAAGAGGAGATAAAGTTAATTACATATCTTCAAATTAAAAGAACGGTGACTATATCTGTGTACTTATATCATTTATTTTACGTTTCTTCGACCTGTTTGATTTCGATAAAATAAAAAAATCTGCGAAGATTCGGGACTCCGGTAAAGCTTGTGATATAACTAAAGGGGGAACGAAGAAGAAATTTCGGGACTCCTGGGTTGGGATCGATATCCAGCGAGCCTATAGGAGCCGAGTCTTACGAAGGATTTCCATTTCCACCCTTATAGTTGGGGGGAGGGGCATAATCAAATGGGCATAGCCATCATAAAAAACCTACTTACTCGTTTAAGGAAAGAGTGGTGGGAAGTCTTTTCCTGAGAATCACCTTCCACAATCTTTGAAGTCCGAAGTAATGACTATTTCGTGCCGAAGAATAATCGCGTAATCGTCAGAACGAAGCACGATACTATCGAGAAAACTGATAGCTAAAGGCCATTATAGACTCGGGTCTAATTTTAAAACTCGCAAGCGAATAACAGGGAGCGGCGTATATTCAGTAACTGACATGCAATGAAGTAATATATTACCTGTATGTCCTAACAATAATGACGTACTCTGGACAACTTTTCTAATATAAGGTTATTTACATATTTGTTACTTAAAACAACGACACTAAAAATGTTCTTTTTATGTTTTCGAGAAAACAGTGCTTATAGAAATATGAAAATAAACTAATTAAATAATGCCATGAACCTTTCTTTCGTTTTTCATTATTTTGCGCGCCAGCGAGTATTTTTTCATGATAATTATCGTTGAT